AGTTGATGGGGGACGGCGCGCCGACGTCGACTGCAAGCACGAGCCAGCAGAGGACAGCGCAGCAGCCGTCCGAGACGACGCCGGCGGCATGCTGCAGTCCGGCCGGCAGCCCGTCGGGGGAGGGGCCGGCCGGCGGCGCCTCGCGAGGATTGCCCGCGGCGTCGGCGGCCAGCCTGCGGGCCACCGCCGACGCGGCGGCGCCTGAGAAGAAGTGCCCCACCCAGAGGGGCGGGCTGTACCTGCGACACGGAGAGGCGGGGGCTAGCCTTGCGGCGGCGGCGAGCGGGCGGAGGAGGGGCGCAGGGCTGCGCACCATGCGATCTGGTACCACGCCACACCGGGCTGCGGCCCGCGGGGCCAGCGCCAGCCGGAGGCGCCAAACCAGAGCGGGAGCGGCGCGCCTGCGAGGAGTGTGGCGGCGAGGAAGAGGAGGACGAGCCCTGTGAGCCCACCTGCGGAGAAGGCACGGGACGGGTCGCGGCATGTGTCCGGGAGAGAGGAGGAGAGAGGAGGAGAGGAGGAGGAGAGAGGAGGGGTAGGGGGAGGAGAGAGGAGGGCAGAGGAGGGCAGAGAAGGCAGAGGAGGGCAGAGCAGGAGAGAGGAGGAGAGAGGAGGGGTGGGGCGGTGCGGCCCTCTCGCCTCTGTCCGCTGCAGAGTGCGCGACGAGGTTGAAGAGAGGGTAGAGCAGCCACGCGATGAGGAGCGCGCCGACGGTCCACGTCGACCCGTTTGGGCAGGAGTACTCGCCGGACCAGCTGGGTAGGCAGAGCACGCAGGACAGCGCCGCGCCACGCCACGAAGCGGACTCGCCGTAGGCGGCGGCGTCGAGTGCGGCGGTGGCCAGCATCGACACCCAGGCGGAGAGGAGCACGCGGTCGGCCCGCCGGAGGTAAAAGCGAGCCAGCGCGCGCCACGAGCCGAGCGGGTACCGACCGCCACCCGTCCAGTCGGTGACGAAGCCCGACATCACGACAAAGAGGTAGACTCCGAGGTGCCCACGCGCGGCGAGGTCGTCGGTTCGCGTGCCCCACTCGCCGTCCTCGCCGCAAAACGTTGCGAAAAAGTACGTCTGCACGTGCACCGCCAGGATCCAAAAGCTGGCAGCGCAGCGAAGCCCGCCAAGGTGAGGAAGAGCCCACGACGCAGTCTCTTCTCTCGAACGCTCTGCGGCGTGGCCGGTGACGGCGGCGGCGGTGGCAGCCAAAAGGAGAGCAACCGCGCTCGACGAGAGCAAGAGATAGAAGGGCCACAGCGCCTCGGAGCGGGCGGATGGTGGCATATCGGGTCTTGCCATGCCAGCCTACATCATAGAGCCGCTTGCGGCACCTTGCGAAAAAACTCTCCATTCTCAACCGCCCGGGCCCTCCCCGAGGGCCCGAATTGGCTTTCTTTTCGGCGGGCAACAGTTCAATGAAAAAGCGGGGTGTGCATTTCATATGAGGAGGCGTGCGCTGTCATATGAGGGGGCGTGCATGGGGGCGTGCCCCCGGAGCACCGCCCCCGATCGGGAGTGGTGCAGTTCATAGGCGGGGGTGGTGCACGGGGGCGTGCCCCCGGAGCACCGCCCCCGATCGGGAGTGGTGCAGTTCATGATCGGGAGTGGTGCAGTTCATAGGCGGGGGGTGGTGCACGGGGGCGTGCCCCCGGAGCACCGCTCCGGTGTCGGGAGGGGGCCGGGGGGGCTTTCCCACGGGGGCTGCCTTCCCACGAGCCGGATCTTCCTATACGGAAACGCGCTTTCGCATCATCTTCGAGCGTTAGCATCGGGCTCCATCACGCAAGAGTCCCGTGACCTCGTCTCGTCTTCGTACATCGAGGGGCTCTGCGCGGGTTTCCCCAAGCAGCAGAACGCCCCCTCTACTCGGAGCTCCTGAGGCATGCTCCTGCTGATCTCGCATCTGTCAGCAACGTCCGTCGTGCGGCAGCCCGCCGCCGCCTCTCGCTGCGCCGCCGCTCGCCTCCAGCTCTCTCCCTCCGAGCCGGAGTCGACGTTTCGGGCGTGGCTCGAGTCGCAGGGGCCAGCGGACGCCAGCCTGCCAATCGTCTCGAGCGGCGCCACCACCGCGGAGGCTTGGCGGTGCTATCTTTAAGCGTTGTGTGACCATCCCGTCACCTCCAGCGCGTGCCCGGCTGTAGGGAGCGCTGCGCGACATCTGGCAGGCTGTCCTCGGTGCGGCCGACGCCTCAGCGCCGCCCGTCAGCGTGCTCCTCCTCCCCGACTGCGCGTGGCTCGAGCGGTGGGAGCGGATGGAGGCGCTCGACGCGCACCTCCGCTCGTGCCGCCCGTCCTGCTCGCTCCTCGGCTCGACGGTGCGGCTGCAGGCGCTGCACCCGGGCTCGCAGCCAACCTCGCCGGATGAGTCGCCGCTGGAGGTGGAGCGCCGCCGTGCCCCGCTCCCGGCCTTCACCCTCTCGCGGCCCTCCGCGCTCCGCCCGGCCGGCTTCGATGGCCTTCCGCCAGAGGAGCGCCCCGCCGGACCTGGCGGCGCTGCCGACGAGGAGGAGGCGGAGGCGGCGGAGGAGGAGGTGCTCGCGGCCCGGGCGGCGCTCGAGAGGCAGTTTGCGCTGCAGGCGGCGTCCGGCGTCGTGCCGCCGCCGCCTCCTCCTCCTCCGAACGTGCGCGTCGTCGAGTCGGTGGCGGGTGCTTCGACGGAGCCGGCCGCGGTCCTCGCCTCGACGATGGAGTGGTGGCGTGGCTACTACTCGACCGTGCACCGCCTGTTTGGCCACCGGCAGCGGCGCGTCGTCTGCAGCGCCGGCTCGGCGGAGGAGGTCTTCGCCAGCTTCTGGAGCGAGGCGGCTCGGCTGTTTGGCGACGTCGACGCGGCGGCGCTGCCGGCGGGCGTCTCGGCGCTGTGCGAGCCGGACGACGCGCTCTCGTCGCTTCTTGTCGTCGCGGGGGAGGCGGCGGAGCTGGACGCCTACCGCGCCGTGCGGCAGAACCTCGCGCTCGCGCTAGCGCTGCTCGGCCTCGCCGAGAGCTTCACGCTCTCCGCTTTCCACCCGCGCGACACGTTCGAGCTCCGAGTAGAGGAGGACGGCAGCCGCACCTGGACCGTGACGCTGCCGCACCCGCTCGTGCACATCGTCAAGCGCAAGTCGGAGAAGTGAGCGAGAGCGCGCCGTCAGCCCGACGAGCACGCTGCACGTCTCGATAATTATAAATAAATAAATAAATAAAACGGACACCTCTCTACTGTGAGATGGGTAAAAAGGAACAGGCCCCCGCCCTTGCGATCTTTGTGCAGGGTTCTTTGTGGGTGTGGTCGGCGACTAGCCGGGGTCGTCCTCCCGGTGGGGGACTAGCACTAGCCGTCTTCCACATGGTCCCTCGGGTCCCTGCTGCTCCTAATCTCTTCGTACATCCTCCTGCTGATCTCCGCAAAGTCCTGCTCCCTCCCTCGTCTCGCCCTGCGCGTCTCGATAATTATAATTTACATTGAGTCATTGATATATACACAATCATGGTTCATGCAGAGCCCACACAAGCGCGGGCGGAGAGCACACACCGCAGCACGCACCGCACACGCGTGCTTCCAACGTGTACGGCTTTACCTTCTCCGGCAAAAGTTATTTAGTACGACCCCGGCTCGGTACGAAAATGGGTGCAAAGCATACAAGAGACCAAAGGGTGTGGAGATAGAAAGTAGAGGAGAGACGCCAGTGAGGACGAAACAGAGACTAGCGCAGACGAGAGCAGGGCAGACCCGGGGACTGGGGAGTCGGAGCAGACGGCATCGGCCGCCGAGGGAGCGTTGGGAAGAGGCACGAGGAGGGCGGCAACCTCAACCGACTATGGAGGAGACCAGTCGCCAGACGACGCAGGGCAGACGACGGGGAGGCGGAGCAGGCGCGCAGGGCGAGACGAGGGAGGGAGCAGGACTTTGCGGAGATCAGCAGGAGGATGTACGAAGAGGAGCAGCAGGGACCCGAGGGGCCATGTGGAAGACGGCTAGTAGTCCCCCACCGGGAGGACGACCCCGGCTAGTCGCCGACCACACCCACAAAAAATAAAATGTTCTTAGCTTCAAGCCCCCCTCCGAGACTGGAGACAGTCACACCCCAGTATCAGACCAGGGGGAGTGCCCCCCGCCCCCACTTGCCCTGACTGCACAGGATAGCGTGCCCCGATAACGGCGACACATAGTGGGGGACACTGCGCAAGGAGGGGGTGCGAAGGCTCATTGGGGTACTAGGTGGGACCATGAGGGGGGGTGGGCGGGGTCCTGTGGGGGTGAAATGTTGCGCGGCGAATTCGAACCTACCCCCTCGCCGCGCCGATCCTCACGCGGAGGGTAAAACCCTGTGGGAGAAAACCCCCCCGCGGCGACCACACCCACAAAGAACCCTGCACAAAGATCGCAAGGGCGGGGACCTGTTCCTTTTTACCCATCTCACAGTGGAGGGCTGAGTTTTTATTTTCTTATTTATTTACGTCGAACGATCGGAAGGGTGCCGCCTGCCACTAATCTCTAATGGAGTCCAGCGATGTGGGACCTCAGTCCCAGAAGCTTGGAGAGCTGTGCGTACCAGCACTTGTATGCGAGCTGTGGGTGCGTGGGCTCAGCTGCGCGGGGCGCGTGCTGGGCCGCAGTACGGGGTCGTACTAAATAACTTTTGCCGGAGAAGGTATACCTTTAACGTAGCCCCAGACTAGGATCTCCTACACGCTATACACGGCTGCGGCTCTAGCCAGTACACGTACCCCTCCTAGCTAGCGTCGCTAGTCTAGCGTCGCTACGGCGTAGAGTACGCTGAGGGAGGGTGTAGAGGATGTAGAGTGTCCGCCTACGGTAGCGTGCCCGGGCGCTATAGCGGTGTCCGTTTTTTTACGTTGAACGTTCCCCTTCCTCCTCCGCGAAGTAGGACAGGGCTCCAGCAGCAGCGGCTCCCCTCCGCAGCGCCGCCAAAGCGGGCGGGTCGCCAAAAAGCGACACAAACACCCGCAACTGCACGCACTCGAGCGGCTCTCCATCGGCGGAGACGCGAACCTTCAGAAAGTAGTTTGTGCCCGCCACCACCTGAGAGTGCGCCTCGAGCACCAGGTAGCATGGCCATGGCGTGAGCTTCGCCATCACGCCTGCCGGCAGCCCGCAGTATCGACGGCGTGCCTCTGCGCTGACTGCGTCCGCGATGTGCTGATGCTCGGCGGTTAGAGCCGCGGCGCGGGCGGCGCCGCACAGCACCGGCGCCGGGGCCCGCTCGCTCTCGCTGCGGAGGATGTCAGCGCGCGCTTGCACCTGGTCCTCCTCCATCCCGAAAAGCCGCTGTGTTGGAGCGCAAACGCAAAAGAATTTTCTCCGCCATCTACCCTTATAAGTCTCTCGTGTCGGGGCCGACGCTCTTTTAACGTAGAACGTCCCAGCCGAAATCCGCCCGCCACGATCGATCAGTCCACAATCGTCGGCCCGCAGCGACCCGCAGCGATGGATGCCGCCGCCCCCCCGGCCCCTGCGGCTGACGCGCCGATGCACGACCGGCCTCCGTCGGATGGCTCTCCGGCCTCTCCGGCCGCTGACGCGGCCGCCCATGCTGCTGCCGATCCGGTCCCTCTCACGCTCAGCGATATCCGCACAAGCTACGACAACTTCGAGGTCGCCGGCTTTGGCCAGGTGCAGACCAACCTGCTTGCCTCCATGTTCACGCTTCGCGCCCCTTCCCCCCCTCTGACGCCGCCGTATGACCGTAGGTGAGGGGCACGACTACCCGCCTGGAAGGCGCTCTCATCAGCAAGTCACCCAGGCACCAACTCCTGGGCGTTTACGCTTGACTACGAAACCATGCAGTGGATGCAGCTCGATCAAAACGGCGACGCCAACAGCTGGTCCCTGGGCGAGTTCCTCGCCCAGGATGAGGTGCGAGTCATGATGCTCGACCCAGCGTGCACCAAGTCGCTCACATTCCGTGAGTTCGTCAACGGGCCGAACACACTCTCCAAGTCGACTGCGATCTCGAACTCCGACAACTGGACCGGTGCACCGCCGCGGAGGACGATGGCTCCCTCGACGACATCCCTTCATCGACGGACGCCTTCACCGCCGCCGGCCCTGGGCCATCCAGCGCGGCCTCCGACGGCCTGCACGTGATCGAGCGGGTACAGAAACGGTGGCTGCCGCAGCTCACACCCTAATCGATCTGCCTTAGGCACGGAGCCAACGGAGCCATCGCGCATGCCCGCATCGCGTGCGGCTCCGAGGTCTCCCGCCGAGACCGGCTCGGCGCGGCGCGTGGCCGCACGCCGCCGTTGAAATGGCGAGATAGGACCGAGGGGAGAGCGCCGGCCACATCGAGCGAGCGCTGACGTGTAAGGTGTCTGTGCTGCTCCGGTGTGTGTGGGATTCTGCCTCCCCCCCCATCTGTGCGGCGAGTTGTTTGCGGCGCGATGCCCGATCGTGCGCGATAGCCTCCCATTGTGCGTGGTGTGTCGGTTGTCGGGGTCGTCCGGAGCGTGTGGCGGCGCCGTTGCATGCAGCGACTGCTCCACGTGCCACGACTGCTTTGACTGACGTGACTGACTGATGAGTGCCACGAACTGCTTTGACTGACGTGACTGACTGATGAGTGCCACGAACTGCTTTGACTGACGTGACTGACTGATGAGTGCCACGAACTGCTTTGACTGACGTGACTGACTGATGAGTGCCACGAACTGCTTTGACTGACGTGACTGACTGATGAGACATGAGTGCTGATGGATGATCTCCGACAACCCAAAACCAAAATGCAAATGAGTGGCCCACTTTGGCGTGCAGATCCTGCGTCTCTCACTGCCCGAACAACAGAGACGGGTACCGCCGCAGGTCCCACACTAGTGCCCTCTTATAACGCTCACAGCGCCTCACAACTCTCGAGACTCCGGTGACACCGACGAGAAACGGACGGCCGAGTTCGCGAGCGAGCGAGTCTGAGCGGTGTCTACGAGGGTGCTCCTCACCATCGTATCCGATGGCGGAGATGGCGGCAGCGCGGTATAGGAAGAGCAACTACAGCAAAAAGTCGTCGTCAAGCATTCGGTCGTCGGCGTCCGCGCGACAGACTCCGCCGGCCTCTCCTTCCGCATCGCCGCGCAAGGGTCGGCCGCACCCTCGCGACATCTCATCTGTGGCAAAGTCACCGAGCAAGTCGCCTGGCAAATCGGGCTCTGCCGCTGTCATTCCGAACGACCACGTAAAGGTCGCCGCCGCTTCACGTCGTTCAGACTCCCCCGACTCCACCAGAGGAGCGAAGCTCTCTTGCCTCGCCGAGTGCTTGCCAGTGCACGTGCCTGAGAGGGACTCTGCGGGACGATCGCTGGCGCTCCCCGGGGAGGAGGAGGAGGCGGCGGAGGCAGGGGAGGGGCACGGGGCGGGGATGGCAAAGGTCATGTCCTTCCTCGTCAAGCTCAAGAAGCTTCCCATGGAGCACCTGACGCAGTACATGTCTGACAAGCAGAACCGCAACAAGATTTGGAGGACGATCGAGTCGAGCAGGAACCAGAAGAAGGTGGCGAGGAAGGGTATAGCGATGGGGATCGGCGTGGGCGTTGAGTACGACCGCATCCTCGAGCTGCACGGCAAGGGGATCACGTACACGCATGAGGACGGCACGCTGCCAAAGACCATTTCCTTTCACGACGTCCGGTACGTCGGCGCCGTCGGCGGCGGCCGCTCCTCGCGCTGGAAAATCGTTATGAAGGACGAGAAGCAGCCGTGCTATGAGTTTGCGGCCGACACAGTCAAAGCTCGCGACGTGCGCGCCCCGTTCCGATCTGCACGAAATGTCCCCTCAGTGGCGCCAACACCCCCTCCGCTCGCCGGACTCAGGCGTGGGTGTGGTGCGTGCGCAACAATTTGCACACCTTCACGAGAAAGAACAACCTGGACGACGTGCTCGCCAGCCCGAACGCCAAGACGCTCCACAACGCCTTCTCCGTGTCGAACGCCGCCGTCGCGCATGATATTCGCCCGATGGAGACCATGGGCAAGCTGACCGAAGAGAACGAGGGGACCTCTTCATTCTCCAAGCCGCAGGCGCGCCATTGGACTGCCTGACGCGGCCTACGCCCACGCCTCTATTCGGTCGCCTGCTACTGCCTACTTCCCCATCGCCCCTTGCGGAGATGATGCTGTGGCGTGGGCTGACCCGCGGGGAGAGGTCTCAACGGCGGTGAGATAGCTGAGAGAGACCGGCTGATTTGGCAGTTCTCTTTCCAGAATGTTACTTCTTTCAATGGGAAATTCGGCGTACCTGCCGCCTTACCGCCATGCTATCACGCCTTGGGGCCCTCTTGCCCCGCGCCCGCCTCGAGCTTTGCTTGCCGCTTGCCGGACAGCCTCGGCGGCACACGACGCCGCACGCCCCAGTGCTTGCGATTTACTGGTAAATGAGTGGTATTTACCACTTATTTGATTCTCCTAGGGAGCAGAGAGTGGTATGGTAAAATACCGAACACCACCAGTCGGGGGGGCGCAGCCCGGCTGGGCGCCGGCAGCCGGTGGACCCCCACTACGGTAGCCACTAGCACTACGACGCACGACCGCCCCATCCAGGAGAAGAGCGTGGCGGCCATGATGCCATCGCCATCGCCCCGCCTCCTCCCCCGCACCAGCCGCAGGGCCAGCGACCTGGGGCATGGGGCTCTGCCGCCGCCGCCATTCCCGACCCGCTCCGCCAAGGCAGGTGCTCCACACTTGGCTCTCGTAGCGCCTGCGTGAGCTCTGCGCCCGCCACTCCTCGATGATCTTCTTCACCAGGATCTTTGAGGGGTCCTTCCACTCGGCGCCGAGCGAGCAGATGGTCAACGCATTCCTAGGACTAGCGCACATGAGTACGGCAAACTGGGTGGGCTCAACACCCCAATCTAGCCATACAGTCTAGCTACGCCGCCTGCTCCAGGCCCTCCTCAAACTCGGCAACTGCCGCATTTGTTGCTGCTCCGCCTGACGTAGCAAATGGCCAACCCATGTGTCGGTATAGCCATCGTCATGCCGGTCCACTCTGAACTTGCCGCGCGTGAAGTAGCAAATGGCCTTGTCGGCAGCAGCCAGCTTATTGCGCCGCTTCTTTGCAATGAGCTGCTCGGATCGCAGAAGCTCATGCCGAGCACTGCCTCGATCTTGAAGATGAACGTTGTCGGCACCGCAAGCCGTGCCTGGCGCGGCGCCGCGGCCGCCCTCTGGCACTTGTAGCGGCAGCACATGGTACGGTGCGCATACTTGAGCAGGCGGGTCGCGCCGCAGTTGGCACAGGGGCCCTGGGTGTAGGGCGAGCGGCATCGACGTCGAAACCCGGTATTTCTCCGGTATACTTTTGCAGGTATACCCGGGTTTTACCCGGGGTTGCCCCGACTCGTGGTAAATCTTACCACCGTTTGATTGTTTTGGTCGGAGAGTGTTTGATTGTTCTGGGGGGCTATACCAGTAAATCGCAAGCACTGGCACGCCCGCGCCCGCACGCGAGCGCTGCGGCGAGCTCGTGACCCGTGCGCCCTGCCCCTGGCGGCATAGCCGCGGCCTTACTCGTCAAGATTCAGTGATAACCTGACCTTGTACGGCCGGTAGGAAGGTGTCGTTCCAGCGCGTGCAGGCTTCTGACGCAATGGCCAATGCCGCGCCACAGGCCCACAGCTCTGACAAGGGACAGCGACAGGCTCGCAGCACGGTGGACTCCCTATTCCACTGGCGATCTCTCTCGACTAGCGACCTTCCTCCGGCTTCTCACCACGGCTTTTGTTGTGGCTAGGAAAATTCTTTTTAGGTTGGAGCTCGCGCTTCTCGCTCTCGCGACGACATGACAGCGCTGGTCCTCCTTCTCACCGGCGCCTCGCTCGCGCCGGGTCTACAGCGACCTGTGCCGACGCCGCTGCTGCCCGGGCGCTGGTCTGCCGCCGCGTGCTCCAGCCGCGCTCCGGTGGTTCGGTGTCAGGAGGAGATCCCGGCGAGCGCCTTGGAGAACATCCCGCCTGCAGCGATGGCCGACGCGTGGATGCGCGACGAGAAGGCGAGGGAGCTAGGCGAGGCGCTAAAGGGTTGCTCGGTCTACCTCGTCGGTCTCGGCTCTCCCAAGCTGGAGGCCGTCGGCCGCATCTTTTCGCGCCGGCTGCCCAAATACCGCTACTACTCTGTGCCTGAGCTGATGTGCAGCACGTACGCGACGCTCTCCGGCGGCGAGGAGGGCGCGGCCGCGCCGATGATGTCCGACCTCTACGAGGCGGAGCCGATGGATGACGTTACCTCCCTCGCCCGAGCGATCACCGACCAGGTCCAGCAGTACACGCGCGCCGTCGTCCGCTCCTGGGAGGGGTCTGTGAGCACGTCCGACTTTGCGGTGATGCAGCAGGCGGCCCCTCGCCCCGCCCGCGGACCTCCGCACCGCTGCCTCCCTCCGCCCTCCCTCCCTCGCCCTTCGCCGCCCTTCCTCGGCCCACACCTCACCACCTCGCTGCAAGCCTCCCGCCTCCCGCCTCCCGCCGGTAGGGCATCGTGGTGCGAGTGGTCGGCATGGAGCCCGAGCCGTCGTCGGGTGCGGTGGAGGAGGCTCGGGAGGGTTGGGCGGAGAAGCACTCCGCGGCCGACGTGACTGTCTCGGTCGAGGTGAAGCCAGACGCATCGAGTTTGGGCACCGCCGGGACACCCAAGACACCTGCAAGACACCTCGGGTCGAAGCGCACACCTCTCTCTCGCCCGAGCCCGCTCCTCGCCTGCCGGGCCTCGCCGCCCGACCCCCGCTTCGCCCTGCCCGCGCAGACCGAGGCGCCGACCGACGACATCGTCTTTGCCGTCGTCAAGGGGCTGCTCGAGTTCATCGAAAAGAACCCGGGCAAGTCCGATGAGTGGAAGTCGAAGGCGGACGCTCTGCAGGCGGAGGGGTGGAGCGTCGACAACTGAGCCGGCGCGGCGGGAGGAAGAGGAGCCGCGCGCGCCCTCTCCTGTGAGAGTCGGCGTCGGGACGCGCGGGCGGCGTGGGGGTGGGCGTATGCGGCGAGAGAGACGGGTCACTGAATCCGCACGCGCCCACATCTCTCGCGCTCGTCTGTGCGCTCTGCAGGGTGTGTTACATTAGAGTCTCTCTTCACAAGCAGTAGAACGGGGGGTGCTGGGGCACCCACCCTCCTCGCACCGGCGTGCGACGTTCGGTTGTGCGGCGCGCGCACGTTTTTTGTTTGGCTTTTGCCGATACGGCTTTAAGGTTTAATGGCTTAAAGGATCTATTCTAAAGCTTTATCTCAATGCACAATGGTTGGGTAGTAGGGCTAGAGGGTCGCTCTACACTTAGCCTCTGCAGCGAGCGAGCGCCGCTTAACTTTGCCCCCGCACGGAGCCGGGCTCAGACGTTAGACGCTGGAAGGCCGGGGGCCATGAACTTAGACGACACGAGGCCAACTCGTCGCACTCGTCCGGGTAAAACCCGGGCGGGGTATACCCCTGCAAAAGTCCAGGTTTACCCGAAAAATACCTGGACGCGTCCCGACCAACTTATGCCGTGCACGACGCCATATCGCTTTCTCCCAGGGCCAGTTGCGCTAATTGCGGCGCGCAACGCTATGCGTGCCTTAAGGCGGCTGCGGCGAAGCGGCGGGCGCGGCATGCCGATGGCAGTGCGGACGATGCGGTTGCGATGTGTTCTGCTTCAAGATCGTGGCGGTGCTTGGCATGCACTTCTGCGATCCCAATCAGCTCATCGCAACGAAGCAGCGCAACAAGCTGGCTGCTGCCAACACAAGGCCCTGCTACCTCACGCGCGGATCGTTCAAAGACTAGAGGACCAGCATACACAGTCTCTCTTTTCTCCCAGTAAGCTAAAAGTACGTACACAGGCTTCTCTGATAGGGTTGCCTAACGTTAATTTGGGGCCTAACAGTTGCGCTATTGTTGGCTGAAATCCTCAACGTTGTTCAAGTGTTCTCCCCAGCCCAAGCTGTTACTGTTTGTTACTGTTGTTACTGTTGTTCAGCGGCCAGCAAGCAGAAAATGGCAAAAAACCCGGGTAAAACCCGAAAATACCTGGGATTTTCCGGGTATTTCGGGTATTACCCGCACTGGACACTAGAGATCGTCGTGGGTCACTGCCAGGCCTTCCATATTGTTGTTCAGCCGGCCTAACGTTAGCTACTGTTGTTGGGGGGCCCCACTGTTGTTCTGTTGTTACTGTTAACACTAGCAACACTGTTCAGCTCTTAACGTTAGGCAACCCTATTCTCTGACATGCGTTTGTTTGAGCTTGAGGCTATTTGTGAGAACTATTTGGCTAGATGTCGCCGAAGTGCGCTCAAGAAGCAGCAACGAGAATCAGAAGAGGAGGATGCTGAGGTGGCGATTGCTGAGCATGAGGAGGATCATCGCCCGCCGCAGGCGAAGAAAATTTGGGCGCTAGCGCCGTATATCGCGTGCCATGGCCGACTTAGCCGGTGTAAGAGGCTCCCTCTGATCTTAGACCGCGTAAGCACTCCAGCGTGGCTAGCCACACTTAGACCCGTTAAGCCGCGAGGCTCAGAACTTAGACTACTACCCAACCACTTTTATCTCCACCGCGAGAACAGAGATGTTGGCGAGTTGCGGCGTCCTGGGGCCGAGGCGCGGCGCGCGCGCACACGACAAGAGAGAGTAGAGAGACCAGTTGCCGAGTTTTTTCGTTTTGGCAGCGCGTGCACAAGCCGATCCGACCCCGCGCCAGCTCACGCCCGGGAGCATGCCCGGGAGGCGGGGAGAGAAACACCCCACAGGCAGGGGTGCTCCCAGCAAGCACACCGAACACCGCCGGCCTGCGCCGAGTCATTGGACATCGCACGTACGTTCGCACCGCGCGGCCACACTGGCGGCCCACTGAGAGGGGTGTCTGTGTCTCTGTGATCCTGAGCGGAGAGAGAGGCTTATCTGTACCGTACGGCCTTCCACATGTCGCCGTCGCGCAGCACTTGGAGCACTAGACTTCTGGAGTGCCAGTTGGCAACCGCACACCCAGGGCCTGGGAGCTAAGAAGCGCACCCAGCCGCCAGCGGGCCGCAATCGGGCTACGGGCAAGAGAGCCCTGACCCCTAGGGGGCGCGCGCTCGCAGGGAATGGGGCCATAAAGTAAACACGGCTCGGCGCTCGGGTCTGCGAGGGTTAGCTCCGCGCTCTGGGTTCCCCTGCTAGCCCTAGCAGCAGAACGCCCCCTCTACTCGGAGCTAGTAGACACCCGAGACACGGACACGACGCACACCCTCACCCGGCGTCGCCACTCCGGCGGGACCCCTCCCTCCATTCCACGCGGTCTCCCTGCTCGGGGGGTGTGTGTTAGGGTGCCCACAGGGCCCAAAAAAAGAAAGGAAAAAAGAAATGGGTGACCCCCGATCGCAGCACTTCGTGTTGGCCAGTCGAGAAATTGAGAGTGTGACTAGGAGGGAGGGACGCTAGGGATTCTCAAAGGTATACCCTTGGAATGACCGGATCCAGCCTTAACAGTACGAGATCGCGCGCGCTTCGCGCACAGCACCGCCTGTTCTCCACGGCTGTGTGACGACGCGTGCCGTGTGCCAGCAGAGTTGGGCGCGCGCGGCGCGACGGCGCCCGCGAGGGAAGGCGCGGGTGCAGCGGCCGCCGGCGGCCGTGCCGCCCGCCAGCCGGCGCAGCAGCGGCCAGCGCAGCGGCCGCCGGCGCAGCAGCCAGATCAGCCGGTGCGCGCCTTGCGAGGCGAGTACTGCCGCCCGGCAGCCTTGAGGCGGCCGGGCGGCAGTACTCGTTCGAACTTTGCGAGCCGTGCGCGCGCCGAGGCGCCCGCGGCGCGCGCCCGCCCGGCTGCCAGTAGGAGGCGGCGCAATATGGCCTATAGTACAGCCCTTGAGGAGGAGGAAGAGGCTGGCTGGCAGTGCTGTATGCCGCCGGGGGCAGTTTTTGGGTGCTGTCCCCATCCCAGGGGGCTGCAGAAGGCGTCCGCAGCCGGGACAACCCGCCCCCCCCAGCCGAGGCCGGTCGAAGCCCACTTGAGTGCAGCCATGAGGAGTCCTCTTGGTGCTCCTGGCGGCCGTTGGAATGGCGAGCGCGCGCCGATGGGGGGGGGGGGGGGGGTCTTGCTTGCTCCACACCGAGCGCCATCGGTCCGGACCGGCGTGCCCAATGAGGGGTGGCCTGCACAAGGTCTGAGCCGCGGGCGCTCGGCGCCAAGTGCAGTGTCACGCTCGCGCTGGAGCGGGACACAATGGGAAACCCTCGTTTCCTATGAACTCGGTCCCCCAACGGAAGAGGCCTCGCTCCTATTGGAACTGGCCAACATCAGATTTGCCTCGTGCGTCCCTTTTTGAGCGGAAAGCTATTTTCTTTTGGGTCCTGTGGGCACCCTATGTGTGTGTCTTCCCTGCGGAGCACTTGGTTGTAGGTTCGTTGTTAGCAGATCAAGACACAGAGCTCACACAAATTCACAGTGGGAGGAAAGCGGCGAGTCGCAATTCCAGGGGTCGTTGTGGCGGGCGGCCACCCTGTCCAGAAAGGCATGGATGCCAATCTGGGGCTCGGTCTTTCGACCGAGTCCGGAGTCTATTAGTCCTGGAGCACTTGGAGCACTTGGAGTGCAGTCAGTAACCGCACATCCAGGGCCGTAAGAAGCGCACCCAGCGGGCCAGATGATATTGGCATCGCGTACGCAAATTGTCGTTTTTCGCTTTTCAGTCAGGAGCCACCTTTGACCAGTCGGCGAAGCAGCAGGTCACTCAAAGGCAAAGCGACTCGCGATTTGCTCACCTGCCCGCGTCGCGCCGGGCGCCCCTCCGTCTCGTCCACAATCGATACGCCCGCTCCGCCTTGCGTTTGCCGCGCTCACCTCGCTCGCTCCTTGCGCCCTTGACCGCAGGAGTCATGGCGAAGCCCGCAGCCAAGCCCGCGAAGAAGATCGCCAAGAAGAGCGCCAAGCCCGCTGCCAAGGCCGACAAGGTCAAGAGGCCGCCCGGACCGTACATGATCTTCTGCAAGGAGGAGCGGCCCAAGATCGTTGCGAAGAATAAGGACATGAGCTTCGGCGAAGTGGGCAAGGCGCTCGGCGCGGCGTGGGGCAAGCTGTCCGAAGCGCAGAAGGCAAAGTACAAGAAGTAGGCGCGTGCGTCCGCGCATGGGCTCGTGGAGGCGGCTCCGCAATGAGGCTTGGCCTCTAGCACTGCACAAGCCGCCTTTGCAGGCCCTGCACTTCAACAACCCCCTCGGGCGATCTGTACCCTCACAGGGGGGCAAGTCTGACGATTCACCATCTACCGTGCGATATCTGGCATGTGTGCTTGCATGTGTTCGTGCATCAAAGTTGTCAGCCGCCGAGCGTGTAATGTGATCCGGGAGGGGGGAGAGCGCGCGCGTCGGCCTGCGGCCCGCCCGGAGAGTCCCTTGTGCGGCTTGTTTATGTAAATCTCCCCGTACAACCGCGTGTCTGAGTAGCTGAGCGCGGACGCCGGACCTCCGCCGCCGAGACACGGACAGAGGGCACACATTTATTGCCTTTCCGGACTCAGCTGACACGTGACAGTGATGCTGATGGCTGATGGTGATGCTGTTGCTGATCGTGGTGTTGGAGTTGGTGGTGTTGGTGGTGACAGCTCTCAGGAGGAGAGCGATCTAGACAGAGGTAGAGCTTCTCGCCTAGTACGTCTAGACGAGAGGGCACGCAGGACGCAGTCGAACGCAGCCAGGCCACACACCACACAGCTGCGCCAGAGCGCAGAGGAGACTGGAGAGAGGTTCCTGGTTCCTGCGTCTCGGCCAGAGACTCAGAGAGGTCCGAGACCGCGTCAGAGCGGGACCACGCTGCTCCGTGCCGTCGCTGGGGAGCCTCACCCTCACGCCTCACGGCCTGGACGCGGGGCTCGCGCTCGGGGCTGACGCTGAGCCTGTGCCTGACCCGGGGGGGAAGGTGTCGCTGTCGGCGCTCTGTGCTCGCGGTCGCGCGAGCTCGGTTCCCGTCGGAGGCTCACTCAGGGTCTGTCTCTCGTAATTAATAGAGATCGATCACAATCACCAACATGCACATGTGATCACCTCGCACCCGCCACACAGCCGCCACCGCAGGCAGGCCAGGCACAGCGCACTGCCGCACAGGGGACACAGCCCACAGCCCACACGCCACACCACAGCCCACAGGCTACAAGCGACAGGCACATGCCGCTGTGGCCTTTGGGCTGGAGCGTGGATCGAGGTCTACGCGCCACAAGCACAAGCCACAACGGTCAATCAACGTGCTCTGGACACCTATGAGCTGAGTGCACCGCACGAGACCGTCACAGAGCGTGACACCGACCCTCCGGCGTCCGCGTCGTCCGCGCTAGTCTGTCGTCTGTCGTCAGCCTCGACCCTCGTCGTCCCCTGACCCCTCTCCACACGCAGAGACAGACTCAGCAAAGAAAGGGCAGGGCGACCTCCGATCGTCCTTCGTGGGGCGGGGCATCATGCACCGCCGCCACCGGCCACCAGCACCAACACCACCGCCGCGCGGTCACCTGGCTCCTGGGAGATTCGGTCCGAAATGTCGCACGCACGACACGGATCAAGGGTCACGCTCACGGGCGGTCGGTGCTTCATTCGCTTGCTCGGCCTCAACCCACCGATCGCCCTTGCAAAGCCGGCTGGCTGTGACGTGTGCGTCCCACCCGGCACTGCTGGGCGTGCTGGGATCGCGCGACTGACACACCTCCCTTTAAATGCGCATCGGCTCTCTCGCGCTCTTGGGGCGTCATCGTTCCCGACCGTCGCTGCCACGCTGGCTGTGGGCGCCCATTCCATTCGAATCGCGACCTTGAAGTTCATTGAACCGACACCCGCAGCTCGGCTATCTGGCGACTCGAACAGGTCTTAGCAGCTCCGGGTGAAGATCGTCGCAAGACGTCAGATGTTGCGGAGCCAATGTTTCCGGAGCGGCCCCCTGCAGCACATTGTCGTAGGTCTTGCGGCGCCTCGGCCTCCGCGGCACAAACTGCTCGTGAACGAACTTGCTGAGCGGCGATGTGTGCTGCAAGAGCGAGTCCGGCGGCAGTTCGTCGGCCGGCCGCCTCAGTGGTTCCGAGCCCGAAGGTCCGGGGCAGTGCCTCCTCGCAAAGATGTCGAGCGGCGACTCTGCGGCCTGGCTCGTCCGCCAGCCGCCGTCTTCTATTACCATCTGCTGCTCAAGATCGTCCGCCAGAGCCTCGGGAGGCGGCGCGGCGCCACGCCGCTTGGCCCACAGCGACACGTTGCGCGGAGGCGGCGTTCGCGGCACCGCGCCGTAGCCCAGCTCGCCCTCCGCTTGCCTCTCATCCTCTCGCTGCGCCGCCTCGTATGCACGCTGGAGGAGCTCCCCAGTGACGTTGCTACCACCCGGCCGGCGATAGACGGGCATCACCTGCGGCGGCAGCAGAGACGGTTCGTCCTCGCGATCGCCGTCAAACGCGTCCGCCGTCGACATCGCTGTCCCCATCCTCCGCTGCCGGCCGGCGCAGACGGGCTTTAGCTCCCACGGTCCGCTGCCGGAGCTAGCCATCGCAGCATCCTGCGCTGCGGCCCGCCGTGAAGGCGCACCGTGTCGAGGAGCCGCCACAGCGGGCGGTTCCGCCCAATTTCCGGTGAGGGCGGCGCGCGGCACCGGCCGAGACCCGTTGTCTCGGCGTGCCGCGGGCATCGGTGCCTCTTGCTCCGCGTCAAAGCAACGGGAGGTCGCTGCGGCCGTTGCAGACACGAGACCTGTCCGCACCGCCGCCGGTGGGAGGTTGGCGAGGAGGCCATGGTGTACCGCGTGCTGCTGGACGGTGGAGAGGGAGAGAAGCTGCAGCGCCGACGGCCTCTGCGCCGGGTGGCGCTGCATGCAGCAGATGAGGAGCCGAGAAAGTTGCGGCGAGTACTGCAGAGGAAGCTCGGGTGCATCGGCGCGCATGATCCGCATGATGAGCGCCGCGTGCGAAGTTGCGTCGCCAAAAGGGTGCCGAAGAGCACAGAGCTCGGCCAGAGTGACGCCGAGCGACCAGATATCCGCCTTCTCGTTGTAGGGGTCGCCTACAGAGGGTATCTGGTCCAGGTTTTCTCCCGCCAGGCCACCTCCACCCTGGCATGGCTCGCCATTGCACAGCTCAGGCGAGAGATAGCCGGGCGAGCCAACGACGGTCTGCGCCATCTCGAGCGACGATGAGAGCTGGCGCGACACGCCAAAGTCGCCGATCTTGATCGTGTCGCCCGCCCCGAGTAGGACGTTGTGCGGCTTGAGGTCGCGGTGAACCACGCGCCTGCGGCAAGGAGGGGAGGTGGGGAGGGGCCTATGTTGAGCTCAGCCGGGACGACACTTGCGATCCAGGGTGCGATTCTGTTGCGCGCCGCGAGTGGATGGCGTGCAGCCCCGCGAGGAGCTGGATGCAGAAGCGCCACACCAGCTCCTCTTCGACGTGCACTCCCAGCCGCTGGTGCTGCTGCAGCAGCCCGTGTAGCGAGCCGTGGACCGCGTACTCCATCACCACGTACAGACGCCGATGCTCGAGGAACGAGTCGTAGTATCGAATCACGTATGGGTGCTCGATTGCTGCAAGGATGTGCGTCTCCTGCAGAATAGCAGCTGCCGCTCCGGGGTCACTTGGCAGCTCCATCTCCTTGACAGCATAGAGCCGGCCATCCGCGCGGCGCCGCGCTAGGCGCACGACGCCACTCACGCCCGAGCCTAGTGTCTTTAACGGAGCAAAGTCGCCCGGACCAGACGGCATCTCCTCGGTGTGGCCAAGCGCGTAGTCGCGGAGGGGGATACGTAACGTCGAAAGGGACGTGCGTTTGCGCCGAGCATCGAACCCGCGGCAGGCGGTTCTTGTGTTCAGCTTTTCTGGGGTTAGGTATGTTCAGCCTTTGTGAGAAAGTTTTTTCTCTAAACTTCTACTCGAGTACCCAGTCGCGACGGCCGACCATCGGTTACAGAAACAGGATGGCGGAGCTCGGGGAAGAGGAGCCTCTGGACAGGGAGGGGCGCATCCAGGCGCGGCGACAGCGCATCGCGGAGCGCAACTCCGAGAGTAGCGAGGATGTCAAGAGGATCGAGCACGAAAAGGAGATGGAGTCGCGTTCCAACCAGCAGATCGCAGAGACCCGCGCTCACATCAAAGCCCTCACGACTGAGGGCGAGTCAGAGGTGACAGCGGTGCGCATTGCTCGAGACCAGCAGGAGAACGAGCGGCGAATCAGCCAAGAGGTCAGCAGGCAGGCTCGGCGGCGGAAGCTCCTCTACGAGGCGGAGGGTAGCGCGCGGCAGAATGCTGTCGTCGCGATGAAGTGGTCTTCGCTCGTCGACAAGGAAGTTGCACAGGAGCTCAAGGCGGAGATTGAGGCGCAGCGCGAGGCCTGCGACGGAATCATTGAGGTCAAGGACTCGCTCCTCGCCGAGTTCCGCCTCGAGCTCAAGCAGCGCGACGAGGAGTACGTCAAGGCGCTCAAGAAGCAAGCGGAGGACGTGGACGACCTCCTCGAGCAGATGGGGCGGCAGCTCGCCTCGCTGCGGCAGATGCACGAGGAGGAAGTGGACGAGGTGGAGACGTCTTTCATGCAGGAGCGGCACGAGCGGATGCAGGCGCACGAGGCCGAGGTCCAGGCGCTGATGAGCCGACGCCGCGAGAGGGAGGAGTCATACCTCGAGGCGCGCAAGCACCGGATCGAGGAGGACCAGAGGAGGCTCGAGGCGGCTCGCGTGCAGGCGGCGGAGGACTACTCCGTGCTCAAGATCAAGCTAGAAACGGAGATCCAGACCCTCGAGAAGCAGCTGGAGGAAATGCGTGCCACCTACCAGCTCAACCAGGAGAAGCTCGACTACAACTACCGCGTGCTGGTGGAGCGCGACACCGAAAACACTACCACCATCAAGCACCAAAAGCGCAAGCTGACACGGATGGCGGACGTGCTGAGTGCACTGCGCGCAAAGCACGCGCGAGAGGAAAAGCGCTACAAGCAGGTGCGTCCTCGCCCCGCCACTCGCGCAGCCCTCAACAGCCAGCTCGGCGAGGCCCGAGGGGACGTTCCTGAGGCCCATCGTCGCTGACGGTGCACAGGAGAATGCGGAGCTAACAGAGGACTACAAGCGGGTAACAGAGCAGTTTAAGGACTTGCAGGCAAAGTTCCAGCATTTCGAGGAGTCCGACACACGGCGTTACCGCGACGTGTGGCAGATGAACGAGGAGATTGTGACGGGGCTGATGCGCAAGGTGCTGCAGGCAGACAAGATCATCCACGAGCAACAGCTCGGCCTGCACTGGTTCCCGCCGTCTGAGCAGCTCTTCGTGGCGGGACGCGGCGACGGTGGCAGCACGCACCCTGCGTCTTCGGCGGATAGTGCTGCAGTGAGCTCGCGCGGGTCGGTTGACAACGATGGCGTGCAGCGCATGCTCGGGCTGCTCTGCGATGAGGCCGGGTTCCTCGTGGAGCAGAAAGTGCTCAAATTGCTCGAGCCGCTGCCGGTCGAGGAGCAAAACTTGCTGAAGATCGACTCGATCCTCAAGGTGCTGGGCGTGCAAGGTGCCGCCGATCTGCAAAAGCTCCTCTCCTTCTTCGTCGCCGACGCCGAGAGCGGAGAGCTCATCCACCCGAACGATGCGATGAAGGTCACCTCCGCCCCACGAACACTTTAGTACGCGCTGTCCATGAGATCTCCGTCACCCGTTCATCACCCTCCCCCTAGGCGATCAAAGCATTCATCGAGGAGCACCAGAGGGGCACTAGGGACAGCCTCGGACAGAGCAGCCGCTCGCTCGCGTCGACGCAGGGGGCGCAGGGACCGCGCGGCGAGGAGCGCGAATTTTGGGAGCGCATGTCGAGCGTCATTAGCGGCAAGACGTATCGCGTATGGGGGGCGCTCGAGCGCGCGCTGCAAAGGTACCACACTCTTCTCACTAGCCGGAGCGGCGTCATCGACGAGGTCCGCGACTTGCAGCAGCAAAACGACGAGCTCAAGGTTCGGGCGTGAATGTGTAGCCACAGCAGCCTGTCTGCACAACTTGTGAGCCCCGCCCCGTGCTGGCTCCACCAGGCGCTGCTAAATCAGTACCTCTCGTCCAAGATCAACGAGGATCTACACGTGCCCCCCACTCACACCATCCGGCTCGATGGCTCGAGCTTTCATGGTGGCTGAGATACAATATCGAGAGGGAGCGACATGACTCATGAGCCGTCCCTCTCGCGTCGTGGGCGCGCGTGCCGCCCTGCGCGGGGGGGGGACACCCCGCCAGGGCAGGTGGGCAGCACGTTGTCAGAGTATGTTATTCGTTCAATTTTGTGTTGCGCGAGACGGCGGCGGCGCGACGCGCCAACTCTGAGGTGAAAAAAATAGTCTGCGCGTGCCGTTCTCAAGGTCTGTGTTCCGTTCGTCCGTTCCGCGTTTGCGTTGGATCGCGTACGTCGTACATATACAATGTAGCGTCGTAACCGACGGTTTTTTTCTGAGTGTCTGACATAAAGCATGGCCGCTCAGGTGTCGCGCCCTCTTCGCCGCCGCCGCCGCCACCACCACACCAGCACCACCACCGAACCCATCTTTTCACGCCCCGTCGCCCCCTCCGCCCTCGCCTCCGCCGCCGTCGTCCCCTCCGCCGTCCCGGCCGCTGCCTGCGCCCCCTCCGCCGTCCCCTCCACCGGCGCCGCCGCTGGCGCTACCGCCGTCGCCCCTCCGCCCTTGCCTCCGCCCTCGCCTCCACCGTCGCCGCCGCCGTCGCCGCCGCCGCCCTCCCCACCGCTGCCGCCGTTCCCGCCGCCGCCCTTCCTGCCGCCGCCCTCCCAGACTCCTCCGTCGCCACTTCCGCCTCCTGCTTTGCCCCCGGTAGCCCCGCCCTCGCCCTCGCCGCCCCCCCTCACCCCCTCTCTACCGCCCCAGCCGCCGCCGCCCCCCCCGCACCGCCCTCGCTACCGCCGCCCCTCCCACCGCTCCCCGAGCCTCCTCCGCCTCCACCCCCAACCCCGTTCACTCTCCCCGACGCCTCTGGGTGCGCGTGCCCGGCGCTCCTGCATACGACGTGCGCCAGCTCGAACGCGATGGCGCTGAGCGCCGAATGGTCGAAATCGACGGAGCGACTCGCCGAGAGCCTCAACTTGCGCTGTCGAGGGCTCGCGAGGCGTGGCTTGTCGGCCGCCAGGACCGTCCGCAGCGGGTTGTCGTCGGGCGGGTGGCCGTGCTTGCTCCAGTTTGCGACGAGGCGCAAGTCGAGGGAGACAGAGAGATCCGCCCACGAGATTGAGTGCGACAGCGGTAGGATGCGTGGCAGAAGGCTGCGCGCGTACGGAAAGACGGGAATGCAGCCTGCCTGGACGTAGCTGAAGATGCGCGGCGTGATCAGGCTGTCTCCCGGCACGACGACGCAGTAGGCCGAATCGCGGTACATTTTCGCCTGTGGTGGTGTGATGGATGTGAGGGACATCTCCGGGCAGTGGACCGAACAGATGGACATCTCCGCCTTGTACTTCAGCGCCTCGGTGGGACACCTGGCCGCCGTGCAGCGTCCGCAGAGGCTGTGCGGGCACGGCGGGACGGCGCCCAGCTGACGAAGCGTGGTTGTCGTGTTGAGGCTTCTCGACATGAGCTCGAGCGCCCTGCGGTAGAGGCCGGAATGCTGGACTGCCTCGTCGGCGCACGACCACGCGCGGCCGCCGCCGCGCGGGTAATGGTCGAAACGGTGGCAACTGGTCGAGTGGTGGGAAGAGGAGGTGAGCAGCGTGCGACGGGGCGGCTCGGCGTCGTCGCCGCGGACGCGAAAGTACTGCGGCGAGTAGAACGGGATGAGGACGACGTTGGGCGGCGGCAGGCCGACGCGGTGCTCCTGGGGGGATGAGATGACGCGGTCAACCCGGTGGGGTGAAATGCGACTTTGGGGCCGAGGGGCGCTGCACCTGCGTGAGGAAGATGCCGGGCCGCATCACGCGGTACGGGTCGGCCGCCGAGTTGACGGCGGGGACCCGGGAGCCCCGCGCGTCTGTCCTGTTGTCCCCGCGGAAGATGGCCGACGTCAGGTAGAAGGAGTGCGAAAAGTGCCACACATGCCGAGCTGCCGTGGCGTCGAAGTGCGGATGGCTGCCAACCCAGCGCAGGAGCCTGAGGTAGGTGCTGCAAAAGAGGCCCTGCGGCGCGATGCCCTGGTACGAGCGCGACATGTGATTCCGCGTTGCAAAGCGGACCTGATTCATGAGCTCCTCGATCCGGTACGGCCCGCGCTGGTTCACCGTCAATGCGGCAGCACAGAGGTACATCGGCGAGACGGGGAGGAAGTAGAGCGCTGCGTGGGACTGGTTTGGCGCTGGCCGGAACTGTGCCGCGAGACCGCCCGCTGGATCGTACAGAAAGTGGTCGGGGCCCGTGTAGATGGCGCCGTCGTCGGGCGTGTACGAAATGAGCTCGGCGTACCGCCTCTCGAGCGGCTCGCCGAGCATGCTCCAGAAGCCAGAGTAGACGTGCATCGAGAGCCGGCTCGCGTTGCAGCGGTCCCGCGGCGCAGGAGGAGCTCGTTGCGCCAGCGACGCGGCGAAGCTCGCCTGAGCCATCATCGGCCGGCCTCAGCGGATGGTCGCGCGCCCTTGCTCAACAGGAGACGCGAATAAATAAATAAAACGTGCAACCTCTGAGACGAGATGGGATTTAGGGACATGTGTCCCCGCCCTGCACGATCTTGGTGTGAGGGATCTTCAATCCGTGTCCCCTCACCCCTCGTCACAACCCGACACGGAAGAGCAGCAAGAGTTGGGGCTGCGGCTACGGCGGCGGCTATGAGAGGGGCCGGGGTCGCGGGAGAGCGGGACGCGCCTACACCGCTCTTGCTCCGCTCGCCACCTCTCGCAAAGGTCCAAAGCCATAGCCACCACCTTCTCCGGCAAGTCCTTTCGCCGTATCTCGCCGTCCCTCCACGCCTGGAAGATCTCGTCGTCATAGCCGTATTGCATCACAGCCTGCTGAACTGCGTCGTGTACGACCCCTGCCGTCCTATCCTGCGCCTCAGCGTCGGAAAAGTCGAACTCGGAGTCATACTCGGAAGCAGGCACAGACGGCCGCGGTGATTTGGCAGGCGGCGAGGAGGGGGAGAGGGGGAGCGCGGCGGTGCGCGCTCGTGGCTCCCGCTGGTGCCAGAAGGGCCAGCGCCCAGCGCGCTCAGCCTGTTCTTGTTCACCTTGGGAGAGGGGGGTGGGGGTCCACCTCCCTTGGGTGCGGGCTGGCGGTCAGGCTTGCGCTTGACCGCCTTGCCCGGCGGCTTGCGGCCAGGGTTCCTCATGGTGAACCTGTCCGGCATGCCGCCCTTCCCAACCCTGGTCCACCCCTCGGGCGACTCGTTGGGCTGGGGCTGCTGCACCTGTTGGTGCTGCGGGTGTGCCTGCGGTGCTGCGGCCGGAGCTGCAGCGGCGGCAGGCGGTGCTGCGGGCGGTGCCGCGGCGGTGGTGGCAGCAGGCACAGGCTGCGGTGGGGCACTGCCCTCCTTGGCCTGCTGCCGCTCCCTGTCCCTCTCCCACTGGGACTGGGGCTGGACAATGAACTGCTTGCCCATGGGCGTCGGGTTGACGCTGAAGCTCCACCAGTTGCGCTCCACGGCGAGCTGCGAGAGGATGCGAATCATCGCCTCGTCTTGCGGCGCCACCGCCTCTCCTGTGGCTTGCGCGCACAGTTTGAGCCTGGCCGCAACGGACGGCTCGTTGTGCGAGTATATGGGCCACGATGTCTCAAATATGAGGGGGTTTGACTCCTACCGGCTCCTGACGCTATCCCTGGCAGCTCTAATGACCGGGATCAGTAGTGCTATGATAGAGGGTGCCCATACTAGCGCAGGAGCTGCCACACTCGCCCGGACCGTCCCCCTCTGGGGCCGGTTCCGCAGCCAGCGAGAGCCGACAGCGGGGCCGTGCCGCGGGTGCCTACTGCCGAGTGCCACAAACACTGCGCCGTCCCGCCACCACCTACAGGCTGTCTTGTGTGATGGTTGGGATGTCCAAACGCCACCATCTTGGCTCTTGCGACCTCAAACCCGCGAGCTGTATGGGTGGTCCTGACGTCGACAGACGCCCGATGACCACGGTGAAGCTGAGCCGGAACGCGTCGACAAGTCTCGTCTGAGCCCGTGGCGGTCGCCGGCTGAGTCGCTGTGCACGGGCCGGTACCTCAGGCGTCACCTCCGCAGCCTCAGGTCTCAAACTCCACCACCTCCGCCAGGACGCCGTCGGTGGCACGTTCGGCGGCGAGTTTGTTGCAGCCCCACAGCGAGCGCGGCGTCGAGCCTAATCGGTCTGGTCGGTCGGCCGCACTCTCTGGGTGCCAGGGAGTGCGGCCGACACGCGAGCGGTGCTTCCTGGCAGCGCGCGCCGGCTGTGGGGCTGCAACAAACTCGAGACACGCTTTTTGGGACATTTTCGACGCTTTTGGCCCATATACTCGCACAACAAGCCGGACGGGCCATCGCGAGCGTCGGCCATGGCCCCGTTTCGCCGTTTTGTAAAGTTTAGGAGACGCGAAGTTTTTCTTCTTTCCTTCATTTCGCCTGGCAGTTCTTCACCTTCCTACCTAACCTAACCTAAAGGAAATAGACAGACCAATCGAATCACCCACAACTCAAAGTATTACCCCACGGCCACGCGTCTCTTTTTATACGCATCTCTCCGCATTACGCACTAGTGTTGAGGTCCCGGTTATATTTCTTGGTGTTGATGAGCACGTCAGAGCCTCCGCGCGACGCCCATGTGCCTCGCCAGGCCTGGCTTTGGCTGCCACGTCTCCTCCTCGAGAGCCAGCCCCGCCTTTCGCAGCTCCGCCGCCGCGTCGGCGAATGCGGAGGACGGCGCCGGGCCGGCCGCCCCCGCCCCGCCCGCTGCCCGGCGAGGCGTGCCGGGCAGCTCCTCTGGCGGACCTGGCGAGTAGCCCCGCCCCTCTCGCATTGCAGGCAGCTTGTCGGCAAACGCAAAGGTCACCGCCCCCGCCCCCGCCCCCGCGGCCTCCTCCACCGCCGACCGGAGCAGCGCCGCCGCCTGCGGCTCCGGCAGGTAGATGAGCAGCGCCTCGCACACGTAGAGGACGCGCCGGCCGCGCGCGTCCCCTCCGCCCGCCCGTACCGCCTCGCGCAGCGCGGAGCGAGCCGCCCCGGCGTCGCTCAGGTTGGCAGCGTGGAAGCTCGGCAGGCCCGCGGCCGCCAGCTGTGGCCGCCGGCGCGAGGCGCGCGCGAGCAGCCTCTTTTTCTGCGCGATCACGTCCGGCAGGTCGACCTCGGCCCAGCTCGCGGAGGCGTGCGCGGCGCCGAGGCGGAGCGCGCGCGTGTCGAAGCCGGCGCCGAGCACCACAACGCGAGTGGGCCTCTGCCCTGCCGCAGACAGCTCCCGCTCGACCTGCTGGTCGAGGTATGCAGTGCGCAGGGCGACGTTGGCGTGGTGCAGCCGCGGGTAGAGGTAGCAGAGCGGCCACGCGACGACGCGCCGGGTGAAGTGCGGCAGCATCGCGTACGCCGCGCCGCCGTCGGCCGTCCCCTCGCCGCGCCGGTTTCCGGCGATGGCCTTGAGCCAGACCACGACCAGGTTGACGCACGTGTCGGCGGGAGCCGCTCGGTCCCAGCTGTGAAGGTGGGGCAGCACGCGCTTGTGCACCTTCCACGCGCCGCTCCAGACCCAGCGCGGAGCCTCCCACGGCGCCGGAACGCCCACCGCTGCCGACACCTCGGCGACTGAGGGCATGTCTGTTCGCCCGCGCCCGTACACACCACGCCTCTGCCAGGCCCTGCCGCGCAGGCTAATGGCCGACGCGGTGGAGGCGAGAAGCAGGACGACGGACACTCGGGACAGCATATGTGACACTCTGCTGGAGGAGTTGATGTTGACACAGGTCCGCTGCTTTTCTTTTTTATCAAGTTCAATGCATAAACAGCGCACCCTCACCACTCCGCTCCTCGCCGGAACATTGTACATGCGTCATGCCTCCCAATACCCAAAAGTCGCAGCTCACGCCCCATTGCCACTATGTGCCCTACACATATGCCACCCGCCACACTCCCCTCCCTTCCCCTCGCTCCCTCCTCACGCCAGCCGCAGCCCCGCCGGCGTGTACAGCCAGGCGGCAAACTCGGGGAGGACCGTCTGGTACCACAGCTTGGTCGTGCGGCCGTACGAGCGGGCGCCGCGCTGCAGGTGCTGGCACAGCAGCAGGATCGCGTCGTCCGCCGCGCCCCGCGCCGCGAGCCTCGCCTCAACCTCCGCGGGCTTGAGCTTGCGCTTGCGCGGCAGCCGGCCGTCCTGCCAGGCGGGAGGGTGGCGCGAGGGCTGGGCTCGCGGCCGCCGGGATGGGCTGCGGCGGGAGCAGAGGCGGCCGTGGGGTGCGGGCGACCGGCAGCCCGAGCAGGCCCTTTAGCTCTGCGAAGAAGGCGTCTCGCTCGACGCGATGCCTCCACATCCACGAGTCGACACTCACTTGCGAGCGGAAGAGGCGCTGGCCGCGCAGATAGCCAACCTCGAAGGCGGAGGGCACGTCCGGCAGCAGGTAGTGCAGGTCGAAGCGGAGCCTCGGGTGGTGAGCCGCCGCGCTCTGCAGCCACCTCTCGGGCGGGCCCTCGCCCGTCCAAAACTCGTAGCGGACGCTCTTCCGGCCCTTGATCCGAGGCTGGCCGGGGAGCATCTGCACGTGCCGCGCGTCGGTGGTGCAGCCCCACGCCTCCTCGCACCGATCGTGCTCCAGGATGCCGCTCTCGCTGGTTGGAAGGAGCGGCTGGAAGGAGAGAGGGCCAGGCGCCGAGGCGAGGAAGGCGAGCCCGCCGAAGGGTGTTCGCTGGGGCAGGAAGGAGGGAGAGGTGGCGACGTTCGCGTCTGCAAAGGCAGCTATGTCTGCCCGTGGACCCGTCACAGTGAGCAGGTTGTCGCACCAGTGAGCCTCGGATGGGTCGCCAGATGAAGTCGAGTAGGCACGCGGGCTCTTGATTGATGACAGCACGGGTGCGAGGCGAGGCACGAGGCAGGATGCTCTTCGAGCGGCGGCTTTTACGAGCATCGGAGACACGAGCACAGGGCAGGAGAGCCGGTCCACAAGAGTGCCTCCGTGAGTGCCTTGGCTTGACGAATAGGATTTCGGCGCGAGGAGAGAAGAATTTGGACCTCATACCACTACTAGGGGGTTGTCAGAGGGGGTTGTCAGTGTGCCCGTGGTAGTGAGAGACTGCCGGTGAGAAGCCGGAGGAAGGTCGCTAGACTGAGATGAGACCGCCAGTGGAGTTGGGAGCCCACCGTGCACCGCGCTGCGAGCCTGTCGTGTCCCTTGTTTGTCAGGAGCAGGAGAGCCCCACCTGTCCCCCTGATCGTCCTTCCAAAATCCTGCTCGTGCAGGTGGGGACCCTGTCCTCCTCCCCTATCCCTCGTTTGGGCTGTCTGTTTTCTTTCTTTTTCAGGGGGTTGTCCCACCCTTGGGTTGTCTGTTTTCTTTCTTTTAGGGGGTTGTCTCAGAGCCTGAGGGAGGGTGTAGAGGATGTAGAGTGTAGAGAGCTGTAGAGCTGTAGAGCTGTAGAGCGCTGTAGAGCTGTAGAGCTCTACATCCGGCGCGGGACAGAGCGATGCAGATGTAGAGCACTGTAGAGCGCGATTTTGCTGTAGAGTTTGTTGTAGAGGCTCTACAGCAAACCCGCCGGGAAGGCAGTGACTCAAAGAGGTCGAGCCGCACTAGTGGGGTGTCTCCGAGCTTGCTGGAGCTCTGATGGACGGCCCTGACTATCCCTGACACACAGAGAGTCACTCTGACGGCACATAATGACTGCGTCATGACCAGCCTGCCATGCGTCGCCGGTGCCGCATTCATCGCTGTGCTTCTTTAGCAGGCGGTGGACTGTCGGCTGCGAGGACGGTCGCATTTGCGCGAGGCGAGGCGAGCATTGCTGCGCGTTGCATGCGCCATGCCTCGCGCCAGCGCGTGCGGGAGCTCCTGGCTGAGCGTTGAGTCCAGGCGAGTTGCGCTGGCCACGATCGCTACGCCGACCCGAGCTGACGCGCCGAGGCGCCGGCCAGTCGCAGCCGCGAGGCATGCCACAGCAGCAGAGGCACCTGCCACCCATTCGGCGGGCAGACAGAAGGCCAGGGCAGCACTGGCACAAGTGCAACGCGCCTAATGTCGGAGAGCGACCGTGCCTCGTTCGCCGCTTATGATGTAGAGTTTGTTGTAGAGATTTCACGTTGTAGAGCGCCTCTACATCGCTCTACATCTGCATCGCTCTGTCCCGCGCCGGATGTAGAGCTCTACAGCTCTACAGCGCTCTCCAGCGCTCTACATCTCTACAGCTCTACAGCGCTCTACACTCTACATCCTCTACACCCTCCCTCAGCTCAGAGCACAGAGGGGGGGGGGGTGAGGCAAGGCGGCCCAGATCTGCTCGTCTCAGAGGGTACCCTCTGTGCCAAGAGAGGCCATCTACGAGCGGCTCAGTAGGGTGCCTGGGCCGACCCTCTGAAGGCCTGTGCCGCCAAGCCAGCCTCTCTCGGCGCAGCCTCTGAGGCTACGGGGACCCTCTGAGACGCCAAGGCAAGCCCCGCGAGGCCGCTCCTCAGAGGGGGTTGTCCGCGGTATTTCAAGTCTGTCGTGATCCCCCACCAAGGTCCAAGCAGAGAGACCCCCCCCCCAGTTTCCATTTTTCGGATTACCTCAAGTCTGCCTCAAGACTCAAGTTCGAGTTCACGCGGACGCCGTGGCGCCTCATGGCCAAGCTGGAGCAGGGGATGGACGTGGAGATCACTACCTCCTCCTCGGGCGGCCGCTCCAAGCACATCCTCAAGTTGACGGGTCGGCGCCGCGGGCCGCGCGAAGCTGTCGCGCAGGGCTCGGCGCGGGCGCTGTGAGCCTGCAGCAGCAGTAAGCGTGTGTGGTGCCGGGCGCTCGAGCATAGCGTAGCGCCTTGGTCATAGCGCCTTGGTCATAATGTTTTACTACCACCCCTCCCCGCCTCACTGGTCAGCGCCATTCGTGGAGGGCTAGGCAGCTCCGGCCTCCGCCCGGGGCTCTCGCCTCTGCCGTGAGGGGGCAGCCATCTGAGGTCAAAGCCCTCTGTGCCGCGCCAAGACAGACCCTCGGCCAGGGACCCTCTGAGGCCAAAATCAGCCAAGAGAGGCCACAGAGGCGGCACAGAGTCAGAGTCAAACCCTCTGTGCCGCCAAGCCTGGGGTCCGACCCGTCCTCAGAGGGGGTCGGAGGCCTCAGAGAGTAGTGCATAACCCCCTAGTCTCCCACTCACGAAGATAAAGAAAAACTCGAGCTACAGGTGACCCTCCTCCCAGCGAGAGGCCCTCCAACCCTTTCGGGTTTGACGCATGGGATCTCCGGCGAAACCGCGAACCAGCACAGAGTCTAGGTAGGTGGTAGGGCCGGGGTAGCAGGTCGAGTCGCAGGACGGCTCGAGCCTGCTGTCGTGCGGGTCGCACCCGTGGAGGCAGTACGCCGCGGTGGTCGCGTTCGCGCCCACCGCCACCTGCAACGCGCTGGCCGCCGCCTGCGCGACGCCGGCGAGCTGCTCGACCCCGCCGCTCCCTCTCCCTCCTCCCACGAGGCTCGAGAAATGGTCGCGGATGGGTCGCCAGTACGCCATCGCCTCCTGTCCCGCCGGGAAGCCCTTTTCGCCGAAGAGGATCGGCTCGTCAGCAAGTACTGCAGAAACACGAGGGTGAGCTGCTGGCACGGATACCCGTCCCGCATCCCGTTCGCAAAGTTGGAGCGCATGTCCGCATCGCCGCCGTCTTCGTCAAGCCGCTCCATCTCCGTCTGGAAGTCGTCCCACCGCCTCGCCACCTCGTCGCACTGCCTCTTCAAGTGCTCGCCGAGCGGCGCGAGCATCTGAGCCGCCCGGCCCGCCGGCTCCGCAATGGGTTGATGCAGCACCGCCGCCACGAGGGCGCTCCGCCTCCGCTTCGCCAGGCGCGCCGTGGTGTCCGTCGCCGCGAGCGGCGCCAGCAGCGCCGCCTGCTCCGCCGTCCGCTCCTCTGCCGCCGCCCGCTCCGCCTCTCTGGGCGCCTCCGCACGTTCCTGGTGCTGCACGGCGCGCAGCTCGCCCGCCGCGCGCCTCGCCCTCTTGGTGATCGGACGGCCGTGCGCGAACGGGTCGTCCGCGTCGCCCGCCGCCGCCCGCCTCTCGAGCGGCACGGTGTGCAGCGCCTCCGCCGGCCACGCGAGCCGGATTGCCGCGCCGCGGCCCTCGCCCAGCCGCTGGAATGCTCCGCCGCCTTCGTTCGCCTTGTCAGCCGCTCGGGCCGCCGCCGTCAGCGCCGCGCCCTTGCCGACGAACAGGAGCGGATTCGGCATCGCAAGCCGAGGCGAAGGCGACGTCGTCGGCCATCAACAACTTTGGTTGGCCTGACGCGCAATCGCCTCCCTTGGCTGACACGCTCGGCGTGCCACCTTCCGCCGGCGCTCGCCTTTCGCCTGACGCACAATCGCGCCACTACCAACATACATAGATAGAAAGGTGAAGAACAGCCAGGCTCGGACTGGACACCAACGCGGAGAGTCTGAGTAGGTAGGTAGAAAGGTGAAGAACAGCCAGGCTCGGACTGGAGACAACGCGGTATGGGTGGACGCGACACAGAAGATCTCGAAAAGCAGTCTGAAAGGGTAAAAAAGAAAACAATGCTTCCCGCGCTTCGTGTCGGCGGTTTTCGTCTGGTTTCGCCCCTTCTGCCATGGACGACCTCGACGCGCTGGACGAGATCGACGTCGACGCGATGACGCCGGGGGATGCCGCAGCGCCGATGGACGACCTCGACGCGCTGGACGAGATCGACGTCGACGCGATGACGCCGAAGGACGACCTCGACGCGCTGGACGATCTCGACGTTGACGCCATCTCCTCGCAGCCAGCGGCCGAGCCTGCAGCGGAGCCTGTGGCTGAGCCAGCGGCCGAGCCCGCTGCGCCGGCAGAGCCAGAGGCGCCGTCCGAGGGCCAGCTTTCGTTCGCCGAGCTCCGCCGTCGCGCAGAGGCCGAGGAGGAGGAGGAGGAGGAGGAGGCGGAAGCAGAGGCAAAGCCGACCGAGCCGACCGAGGCGGAGGAGGAGGCGCAGCCAATGGAGGTCGAGACGGCGGCGCCCGAGGAGGCCGAGGTGCGCTTCAACCCTCGCCCCGTCGCGTGTGACCCGCCACTCCCCCCCAACACGCCTCGCGCCGTGGACCGCCAGGGCGGCGGGCTGTCCTTTGCGGAGCTGCGGCGCCGCGCAGAGGCGGAGGAGGAGGAGGCCGAGGAGAAGGAGCAGCCTGGAGCGGTTGCGGGAGGGGCGGCGGACGAGGAGGTGTCGTCGGCCGCAGCCGACGCGACGCAGGCGGAGGACGAGGCGCCGGAGCAGACTTCGCATCCGTTGGCCGAGGAGGAGGCTGCCGGCGCGGATGGCGGCGGAGCTGCAGAGGCGGAGGCTGCGCCCGACTCTGCGATGGAGGTGGAGAAGGAGGAGGCGACCGAGGCTGGGGCGGAGGGGGACACGGCGGCAGACGCGGCCGCGGCGGTGGTGGCAGGGGCGATCGCGGCGGCGGCAAGGTCGGCTACTACCGAGGCCGCGGCGGAGACGGAGGCCGAGGCCGGGGCGAAGGAGGAGACGGCGGACGAGTCGGCGGGCGAGGAGCTGGCGGGAGAGGCGCCGGCGGACGAGGCGGCGGACGAGGCGGCGGGCGAGGAGCTGGCGGGAGAGGCGCCGGCGGACGAGGCGGCGGACGAGGCGGCGGACAAGGCGGCGGACGAGGCAGCGGACGAGGCGGCGGACGAGGCGGCGGACGAGGCGGAGGTGGCCGAGGCGATGGTCTCGGAGCCGGCTAGCGCCGCCTCTGCCGCAGGCGCCGCCTCGCAGGCCGCTGTGCCGGCGCCCACCGGCGCCTCGTCGCCGCCCCCGCCGTCCCCGGTGCCCAAGGACGGCGATCTGTCCTCGCCGGGGCTCGACATCGGCGGCCAGATCGACATTGGCGAGATGCTCGACCGGATCGACGAGCCCTCGCCCGAGGCGCCTGGCGCCGTCCCTCGCAAGACGCCCTCGGACCGCGGCAAGCGCAAGCTCGACGAGGCCTGCGTCGCCGAGGCGCTCGCCGACGAGGTCACGCGCGAGAAGCCGCGCATCCTGCCGCCGTCGCTCGGCGGCGCGGGCGAAGGCGCCGCCGCCGCAGAGTCGCCTGCCCCGCGCACCAACCTCTTCGACGGGCCGCCGCCCGCCGCGGGCTCTCCGGCGGCGGCCGAGTCCGCTGCCACCTCCGAGCGCGCCTCCAAGGCGGCCCGCAAGGAGGCGCCCAAGGCGCCCGCCGCGGACGGCGGCGAGTCGCTCGAGCGCAAGTTCAAGGACGAGATCCGTTCATGGCTCACAAAGGTGCGAACGGACCGGCAGACCTTTGGCGACGCGCTCGACCGGCTCGAGAAGAAGTTCGATGTCGAGGTGCGAGGCGAGCGCAAGCCGGCGATCAAGGCCATGATCCTCCGCGAGCTCGAGCGCAAGGAGCACAAGGCCAGGGCGTGACTGTGAGAGCTGAGCTGCGGCCACGACGGATGTCGGCCACACGCGCCAGCAGCAGCAGCAGAGCGGGCGAAGAGTCCGTCACGGTCATGATGTGAGGGGAACGATCGCGCTTTCCGGTACATGCTGTACACATGCGCGACTTTTGCCAGGCACATGGCGACTGGACGGTTTGTTTCGCGGGTATCCGCGGCGAGAGGCGCCACCAGCCGCGCCACACCGCAGTGTGATATGTGATCTGTTACTCATTACATCCGCGCCTAGAGTGACTGAGAACTGTGCTCTGTGGGGGAGATATTGGGAGAGAGATATAGCCGCTACTATAATATAGGCAGGTGGGTCTAGGCAGGGTGAGGGGTGGAGATACAGATTCGTAAATTCCGAAATTCGTTTACAATTACCATGGTTCTTGGTTGGAGGAGCTGCCGGATAATAAATAAATAAAACGGACATCCCAAGCTAGGGCTGGGTCGAGGACAGACAGAGACACGTCCCACCCGTTTGCACATTGCAGGATCGTTTGCAAACTGGTTGGGTAGTAGTCTAAGTTCTGAGCCTCAAGGCTTGGCGGGTCTAAGTGTGACTAGTCACGCTGGGGTGCTTACGCGGTCTAAGATCAGCGAGAGCCTCTTACAGTACACGGGCTAAGTCCGTGGCACGGCCTGGCTCCCACCGTGATCAACGATACGGCGCTAGCCCCCAAATTTTCTTCGCCTGCGGCGGGCGTCTGAAGTACTAATCCGGATCGACCCTCCTCATGCTCAGCAATCGCCGCTCAGCATCCTCCTCTTCCGATTCTCGTTGCTGCTTCTTGAGCGCAATCTTCGCGACGTCTAGCCAAACAGTTCTCACATAAGGGTCCGCCCGCAGGCGCATTTTTTGTGTATACCGAGGCGGTGCCCGGTGCCGAGCGCAGGCAGAGCCCACAGGTCGGACCTTAAGACAGCATTGTAGATCCCTGGGCGAGGGAGGTGGCGTCCCCGTCGGGTCAGGGCTGAAGGCGGGGGAGACCAACCCGATCTCTCCGGCGTCCCGGGAGCGTGATTGACACCTCCCCCTGCCAACAGCCCCGTGGAGGTAGCTAGACCGCTCGTCTAGCCAATCAGCCTTAAGCGAGCGGTCTGGCCGTTGGAATGGCCGAGGTCGGTGGACTTGCGTCCTCGCATCGGATCGTGATTACAAGTTTATCGTTATGAACAACAATCACCACTCGGGGAGGCGGCTGTCTCCGCAGGCGAACCTCAGTTACAAGCCGCCTCCCCTACTTGCCTCTCTCCCGTCTCTGGCCCTCCGTCTCTTGCGCGCTTGCTGTCCAAGCCTTGCCCCTCGCTTGTCGCTTTCCCGCACCCACCCGGTGGGGGGGCGCCTTCGTGCCTTTCGTCCTCTGCAGTGCGTGCGCGCTCCTCGCCCCGTACGTCATCGGCCCCCGTCCTCTGTGTGCTGTTGGCTCGCCCCCTCTCCCTGGCTCACTGAATCGCTACGTTCGTTCTCAAACCGCCCCCGCTTCCTCGGTGAATGAGATGTCTCGTCCTCTGGCTTTTCTTCGTCCATGTCCATAACTGTAAACTCGTCGTCTGCCTGGCTGCCATCGTTCGGATGGCCCGTTTCGGGTGGTTGCTCGCTCGGTCCTGGCTCTGCTGCGCGGTCGGGTGTCTCCTCGTCGTCGCTCCTTGCGCCCTCGTTGCTGTGTCGTCGTTGTCTTGGCCGGCGCAGGCTTGACTAGTTTCGGTCCCCCTGTGCCCGAGCCGAAGTTCGAATCGTATTCGATCCATGAACCGCTGCGCCGCGAGCTGGTTCCGCCGTTCTCTCCTCGCGCGCGCCCGTTGGCTGCCCTGGCTGCTCTGGCTCCCCTCTCTCTCGCCCCCCTGGCTCTGTTGGCTATACTGACTCTGGCTCCCCCCTCCGCCTCTAGTCTTCCTCCGTTGCCACACGTCGGGAAGCTCGAAGAACGCATCGTCGATAAATGCCATCTCGTCGTCCGCCGAGGCGCTCTTGTCTCTCTCGTCGCCCCCCTCGTCGTCGCACGTCTCGCTCTCCGGCGGCTCGCTCTCCATCGAGTTCGTCGTCCCGCCTTCGGGCGCTGGATTGTGGACGGCCTTGTCGTGCTCTGCCGTGTTCCACGGCTCGACCCCGGCTCCCTGCGCCTCGCGCACCGCGTCGAGGGTCCGTTGTGACACTTGCCTCTCGCGCCCGTGCCGAAACCGCAGTAGGCTGAGGTGCCCGATCTGGTAGGCCTTTGTGCCTTTGAGGGCTCGCGGGCCTCTCGGCACCCCTTTGTCGGCCCTCGGCTTGCGTGGGGGGGGGGCATCGCGGCGCGGAGAGGGCTGGGCACAGGGCACAGGGGATCTCTCTCGCAATAGGATACGCACTCGGCAAGGCTGGGCGTCCTATTTGTGCTCCCCTCCCGATCCCTCGCTCTCGGGCACTATCTAATCATCTGACCACTCATCAGATGGGCTTCTTCGCGATCGGCCGCGCTCCGGGGCAGGGCTAGGTCGGATGGGCTTGGTCCACTCGCCCGTGCGGGTGTATCCCCGCATGCGAGCCGTATGGAGGCGCTTCGACCGCCCCTCGCGGCAAGCTCTCGAGCAGCTCGAGCAGTTCGCCCGCCGCCACCGCCGCGTCGTACTGCTCCCTCAGGCCGAGCGCGCCGCAGACCCTGCGGACCGGATTCTCGAGCTAACACTGCGAATTTTTTGTCGCCCCGCGAAAATCGCGCCATCGCCGCAACCGGAATGACACCAATCGCCGTCCTCTACGCCCCGTCATTCTTGCTTCCTGCTCGTGCACCCGCCATCGGCATCGCCACCTCCTCTGCTGCTGTCTCTGCCGTGTGCAGCCGCCTCAGCCACCTCCCTCCGCCAACTCGTGCTCGTGCTCGGCCGCCGAAGGCGCTCATCCACGAGACGGCATCGACCGCCGCCGTACTCTCTCGGCCTGCCGCCTGGCCACTCATGCTCGCCTTTGTGTGCGGTGGCCTCTTCTTCACGTCTGCCGTGACGGCGGCAGGCGCCGTTTACGCGGTGGGCTGGAGCAACGTCCGGTTCGCGGCGGCGCTACTTGCCGTGGTGATGCGACGCGTGCTCAAGCTGCTGCTCGCCATGCTGGGCGCAACGCGGAGCGCCCTCTTTGGAAGCTCGGAGACGCGGTGGGCCGACGCGTGGCAGGCGCTCCGCGAGGGCCTTGCCGAGGCGCGCAAGGCGTCTGCCGAGGGCGTCCAGGCAGTGCAAATGGAGGCTCGGCTGTACGCCGCGGCCGTCGGCGCACCCGGACTGCGCCCGCTGCAGTATGCGCTCGATCGACTTCTGCCCAGCGCGCTGGTGCCTAAGATGGAGGCGGCGCTCGAGCAGGCGCTCGCCGATTTTGCGCAGAGCAACAACCCCGTGCGCAGCGCGCGGCTGAAGCAGTTCAAGGTGGGGCGGGAGCTGCCTCGGCTGACGGCGGCGCGAATGTACGACTTGGGCGAGGACGCGTTGGCGGTCGATGTGGAGATGGACTGGGCCTCCTCCCTGACCGCCAGGGTCGAGATCGTGTCGGCCGGCGTGGGCGCGCGCGTCCCGGTCACGCTGCACAACTTACGGTTCACGGGGCCAGTGCGGCTGGTGGTGACCGGGCTGCAGTCGACGGCGCCCGGCTTCGGCGCTCTCTTGCTCTCCTTCCCCACCGCGCCGAGCATCGGCCTCGAGGTGCGCGTCGCCGGCGGCGAAGTGACGAGGCTGCCGTGGTTACGTACCGAGGTGCAAAAGACAATCAAGCGTGCCGTTGCCGAGCGGCTGCTGTGGCCGCAGCGCATCGTGATTCCCGCCGAGGTGGACCGCCGCCAAGACCTCTCTCGGCAGGCAGCGCGCCACCCACTGTTTCCGCGCGACGGTTGTAGGCCCCGCCCGCGCGCGAGACGCCGCGCCCGCCCTTTCTCGATCCGTCGAAGCTTGCGGCGCTGGCACATGACGACCCGCTCCTCGCGGCGGAGCGCGCCCTCGCCGCGCAGCCCGCTCTCGAGGACTCGAGGCGGCAGCCGACGCGGTGGGATCGGGTAAAGTCGGTGGTCAGAGCTGTCAGTGTTGGCGGTGTTTAGTCTTTTCATGAAAGAATTTCACACGCACACACAGGTCACAGCAATCAGCAACGGGTGGGGACCTGTTCTTTTTACCCATCTCACACAGAGTGTCCGTTTTTTTAGGTCACAGCATGCATCTAGGCATGCATGAGCAGCTAAAGAAAGAAAGAAAAGATTATGAGATCACAAGTCACAATCGTCAATCCTCCTGAATCCATGGGCTGTGCCATCAAAGCGAAACCGCATCTTGGAGTGCACTTCAACCTTCGTGCCACCTCGCGGTCTTCCCACTCTCGTCGTTCTCTCTCCTGTCGCTTCCTCCTCTGTCGCGTCGCTCCCCTCTGCCTCGTTCTGCGACGACGCCGCTGCCTGGCGATCCCTTGCTCTCGCGGCTTCTCTCGCCTCTCGGCGTAACTCTGCCCTCCTTGCTGCATATCCTGGCCCCTCGAGTTTATCGAGCTCTCCTCGCGCAAGGATGACTCTTCTGACGCCCACTGCGATCATTTGCCGCCAAGTCATATCATTGCTCAGGTCCACTCTCTCTTCGAACACTTGTACCTTCCACAGATGATGTTGGCGCTGGGGTCCCCTTCGGGTGCATCGTGACAGCTGACGGCGGGATTTCCACTGGTTCGTCCTCCTCGGAGTCGTCTTCCCCGGCTTCCTCCCGTTCGGCTCTACGTTCGGTACGTTCGGCTTGGCTCACCCTCCATGCCGTGAACAGGCGCTTTATCCACCCTATATTCTTCTCTCGTTCCTCTGCCCGTGCCTTGGTCGTGTCGTTGTTTCGCATCCATGTCAGTATGGCGATCGAGGCTGCCTTCCCCACTACCTGTAGTTCTCTCGTCACCTCTCCCGCGAACTCCCCTCTCTTTCTTTCGGGCATGGAGTCCGTGAGTGCGGGCAGCGTGCAGGCAATCACGGGCGCTATTTTGTCGTACTCCTCTTTCTTCGGCGAGCGCTCCGAATCTAGAGCCCATTGCCTTTAAGAAGGCTGCCCTCGCGCGTCTCAGGAGTGCGGTCATTAGGCGAGTTACTTCTTTTCGCATCTTCGCGCGTATCGGATCTGACGTTTCGTCGTAAGTCTAGATAAGGGCGCGAAGCCTCGCGAACGACACAAGGAAAGCAAAGTCTGAACAGGGCACCGAACGTAATGTCAATGCCGTCGATGCAAGCGACACCGCCGCTCGCGGCCGTGGACCGTCGAGCGTCGCGCCATCGACGCTCAGGCACTTGCAGTGGACCACTGGTCAGTCCCCGCCACCGACGCTCCAACTCGGAAGGGGCGCCCGCCTTGACCGTGCGCATTGGAAGCCTGCCCTGGGTGCAGCCCAACCTCTCGCTTCTCTCCGTCCGATGCTCCTCCTCACCGCCCCTCCCGGCGAAAAGACCAACACCCGGCCCCTGCTCCCGCGCCTTCCGCTGCCTCTCCGTAATCCAAGAGCGAGACGACGACTGAAAGCTGGGCCTAGCCAGCTCTGTCTGTGTGGTATTGGGGGCTGTGTGTGCCCCAACGTATTGTTCGGCCTCTATCAAGGCAGACTACCTGCTCCTCCTTAACCCCTCTTTGTTTTCGGATCCACGTGTGCATGTTCGGGCATGCCGCTTTGTGCATGCACATGACCGCGACGTGTGCGAGTGCGTGCATGCACATGACCGCGACGTGACTCGTGAGCACACAGTTTGTTATTCGTCTCAGTCTGGTTGAGCCCTGCTGTACTCCCATGTCCCATCTCTCCCAGGGCGAAAAAGAACAAGACGCAATTCAAAAGAGAGCACGCACACGTCACTTACTCCTTCTCAACCCACAAATCGGGGCGGACGCCGTTCCGCGCGAACCCGCCACTGGCCCAGTGGTCGCCTATCCCCTGGATGAAGTCCGGCCGGACAAGCTTGCCGCGCAGACGGTTCTCCGTCGCGCCGTCGATGCGCAGATAGGATCCCTCGACAAAGCCGTCGCTGTAGGCCGACGGTGCTCTCCAGCAGCTGCAGCAGCTCCTCCTCGCCAGCAAAGGCTCTGCACGCGAGGGTGCGTACGATGGGGATGCCCAAGCCAGAGAGTCGGCGGTCGCGCTCGGCGACAGAGGCGAACTTGCCGCTCCGCTTGTTGTAGAGGTCGAAGGCCAAAAAGAGACCGGGGAGCTTCGTGTACGCGCACGAGTGCTTTGCGGCACACCACTCTCCAAAGAGAATTTCTACCTCCGGCTCGAGAAGGCGACAGAGCGCCCAGCCGTGCTCATCCAACCAACGGCCGAGCGCTTTGAACTGCGCGTGTGTCCGCTCGTTGACGTAGTGCGAACGATTTTGCACCCTGATCTCATACGCCGCAGTGAGTGACAGGCCGAGATTGGCCCCGTCAACCTTCTCCTCCGCATACACGACCGTGATGCCATCATAGAAGCGGCGCGCATCTGCCGGATCCATGACCAGGTCGTCCCGCGTCACCGCGCTGCCGCCGCCACTCTCTATAGGTCGCTGGCGGCGATAGGGCGGTGGCGCGCGCGCGCGAGCGGCCGTCGCGGGGCGACCACGTCGGGGTCGCGAGGGAGGCTGGCGGCAGATCCGTCATTCTGATCGCACACACGTGTTGCGCAACGTGTTGTTTCCTGATCGCTCGTAGATAGGAGAAAAATAGAATACAGAGATAAAGAGAGACAACCCGATGTCGCATCGCGCCCGCGCCACACAACACCAGCAGACACCCACAAGTCACTTCTCCGGCCGTCCCACCGGGAGCTGCGCCCGCAGCGCCTCTGCGTAGGTCTCTGCGGCCTCCCGGGTCGCGAAGCGCAGAAGCGCGTGCACGGGCAGGTCCACCAGTGAAGTTGCACGCCGGGCCTGAAGGTCCTGCTCTGCCACCTGCGCCGAGAGCGACGCAGCCGCAGCTCCATCTGAACCATCCCGGCGGCTCGCCAGGTAGCAGTCCTTCGCCTTCTGAGACCCCAGTTCCAGGAAGAGCTCCTGAGCGCCCTTTGGCCATCCGCTCGAGGGGGTGATGAGAGACGCCTTCCTGATCTTAAAGACCTTGCCCTCCCACGATGGATCTGGTGCAACGACTGCGCGGGCAAAGGCGCCTCCACCCCCGGCGTAGGTCTCACCCTGAAAGACGCCCAGCTCGACGGCAAAATTCGCCGGAAGGACAACCTTGCGCTGTCGCTCTCGAAGCCACGGCCAGTTGTCGGGCTTGTTGAAGCCCTCGGGGAGGATGTGGGATCGCGTGGTTCCGTCGGGCGAGCTGCGTGCATATGGCTGGAACGGGTCGGGCGTCGTCGGCTGGGCCTCCGGGGCCGTCGACTCAGGCTGCGCCGGCTCGGCCTGCCGCTGCACAGGAATCCGAGGCACGGCGCTCTCCGCAATGTTGACCGCTGCAGAGACTGCGACCGGGTCCATGATGGCCACGTGCCGCTCGCCGACCACTGCCACCACGGGCGACTGCATGTAATTGCCGCAGCCCGCAGCCCGGAGGCCGTTGCCGGCCTGTGAGATTCGCCAGCTGATCGGCGACGCCTTCTCGCCGCCATCTGCGTCCTCGAAGTGGAGCCGTCTGCGCTGCAATGTGCTGGACACGCGCAGAAGAAGCGGGTCCAGGGGCGACTCGGGCTGGAGCCAAGCGAAGGCGTTGCTTTGGCGCAACAAGAGCGCCGGTCCTCCGAGCGCGAGGGGGAGCGGGGGTGGGACAAGGGCGCGCGCCGCTGTCGCCTTCCTCTTTCCGGCTGCGCCATGCGGCGGCGCGGGCGTCTCTGGGCGTGCCTCTGGCACCGGCGTGTCCGAGCGGGACGTCGACGCCGACGCCGACGCCGACGCCGGCGAGTGAGAGCGATGCGGCGGCGGCGTGCGGCGAGGCGCTGGCGCTGGCACCGCTGGCGCTGCAGCGGAGAGCACCAGCTCCACCGGCGAGGATCGTGGCCGAATCACCTGTACGCGGTGGCGTGTGGCGAACTGATTGCCGCGGGGCGTACCTCGCTTCGGCGTGGCGTGTGGGGCAGAGCTCTGAAGCAGTCTTGGGTGGGAGGCGCGTACCAACGTGCTGAGGCATCCCGGATCGATCGGCAAAAGACCGCCGCCCGTGATCTTGCGCTTGTGAGTGCCGTGGGCGAGGTCGAAGAGGCCGAATCCGTTTTGCCACAGGAAGCGAAGGCTTGGTCCACCACTGCTTTTGATGAAGAGGACCGCGACGCCGTCCGGCCAGCTGAGTTCAAAGTGCTCTGGCTTTTCTCCTCGCAGCAGCCCGGCGAAGTGATCCGCGAGGTCAGAGAGCAGCAGCTGAGAGGCGGTGGAGGGCGAGGCGCAGAGCACGCTACTGCACTCTTCCACCTTCTTCTCCCGCCCGTCGCACTTTAGCTGGAAGGCCGATTGCGAACGAGTCGCCGCCATGCGAGAAACCGGCGGCCCAGGCTTGCTAGTAGGGAGCGCCAAGATTTTTTGAACGGTGTGAGAGACACACGCACACACACAACACGCTGCGCGGCGACCGGTGGAGCGTCACGCGGGCAGCGCACCAGCCTCGCACGCACTTCCTTCTCTAGTGCTGCTCGTTCGTGTCGCGTTCATTCAGCCTAGGGTCGACACGTGGCCCGGTGCCATTCGGGCGCCGCTCACCGCTTCGCAGCGAGCCCGGGCTCTACAGACATCTCCGTCGCGAGCTGCGCACGCCCCGCGGGTCCGTGTGACTGTAGCTGTATCTCCCAAACATCTCTCGCAGCTCAAAGCGATCTCCCCTAATCTCCACGGCTCGAGATTGCACGAGATAAAAACGGCGCTCTCGAGGTGGTTCGCCGGAATCTGGATAGGGGAGCGCGTAGAACGCGCGCTGCCGATGTGCACAGAGCCCGGGATGGCCAGCATCCGCCCTCGTGGTCGCGAACGGCGCCGGTCGGCGCGTGCGGCTCTGCGTCAACCAGTACGGAGCCCGAAATGCGTCCAAAAGTAGAAAAATAAGGTTTCCGCGCCTTTTCACTGCTCGCCGCCGCGCAGGCGCGTTCCGGGGCCCCAGTGGAGCATTTCATCTAGTGGCGGCACCGGCTCTAGAGAAATTTATAATTTCTCAGTGGGGTTTTGACATAGTGGTGCTCTGACCTCTGTGACTCACAAAATAACAACACAACGATGGACTTGGAGCGCCGAAAAGAAAAGGGAGCGGATGCGGTGCCCAAAATAAACAACCTCGTCTTACGTGAGCACACATGTAGAAAACAATAAGGAAAATTAAGCCAGTCCCAGTGTCGGCACCAGTCAGCCGGAGGCGGAGCTATGGTGGCAAAACACCTTTGCATAAAAGTTCCAGCGCGCGGCAGGGTCGCGCATCTCGTCGAACCACCACTGCATGCGCGCCGCCATGTCGTGTGACTCCGCTCTCCATTCCCTGCAGGAATGGAAGCTGTTGCGGTGTGCGGGCAGACAGTCCTCACGCCATCCTGACAAGCGCTGACCGTCCCGCAGCATCTTGAGGTAGGCCGAATCGAGGGCGTCCCCCTCGGGGTAACAGTGTCGTAGTCCCGCCTCTGCCAGCAGCGCACGGCTCTGCGCGCCACGCCACGTCCCCGGTAGCGGGGTGCCGTCTGGTCGCGCGCGTGTCGCGCCTATGAAGCTCTTCGGGTATGGCGCGAACCAACTCAGCTCGCCGCCTTCCGCCTCCGCCTCCGCCTCCGCCTCCGCCTCCTCCGCCTCTCCCTCCGCTGCCTCCGCCTCCGCCTCTACCGCCTCCGCCACCTCCGCCGCCGCCTCATCAGCGGCTGCGCGCAGAGACGGCTGATCCTCTGGCGGCGCCCGCTGCGCAGCCTCGAGGAGCACCTGGTGCGCCTTGCGGTTGACCATGGCAGCTAGCGCCCTGCCGGAGTAGGAATCGCTGCGCGGCGCGGCAAACATTTCGCAGGCCCGTGACGCGATGGCGTCAAACGCCGCGCTGTCCGACGCCTCGAGGTGCTCTGAGCACCTCTGCAATACGGCGCGCAGCACGACGTCCGCCTGCACAAGGGGCTTGCCGCCGTCATCCGGCGAGCGAACAACCTGCCACGCTCGCGCCGCCACAGTCAAGAATTCGCGCAAATTTGGATCTGGGATGTCCGCGATCTGGTTGAGCGTATTGACGACGACGTGCGGCTGCGTGGTGAGCACGGTCATGTTGATGCCAAGAATCAAAGTCATGGTCTCATGCTCTCTCAGCGACCGCCTCACCCCGCAGAACTGATTTAGAATTCTCAATGGCAGCACCGCCTGCAGCAGGGCGAAACTGGCCCCCTCCTCGTGGGCGCCGAAGATCTCAGCGGCGCAGCGCAGCGAGCGAGCGTTGCCGCCCTTGCTCAACTGAGCAACCGCGCGCCGCGCCCGCTCGAGCGCCTCCTCGCTGTCGTCGGCGGGCTTTAGCGCGGCAGCGAGCTCGTCGAATTTCATTCGATCCAGCTTCTGCCAGGCGTCAATGACATCGGCGGCAGAGGTCAGCGGGTCCTGCGCCTCCTCTACGAGTCGCAGAATCATCGACACCAAGGCGTCGATGTCCGCCTCGCGCGCGGAGATCCCCGCATAGAGGAAGCCGAGCTTGAGCAGCTGCAACGAGTTGTTCCGCAGCGCCTTTGGGACGCGGCACCCGAACAGCTGGTAGCACATGTTTGTTTTTCTGCGCGACTCGAGCACGTCCTTGAGCGTGACCCTCCGCATCAGGTCGAGCAGGCGCGGCACGTCCTTGATCATCCGCTCGAAACCGTCGACAAATGCGTCCCCATCCGGGGAAGGGCGCAGGCCGTCTGGCGCCGCGGGCAGCAGCTCGTTGTGCAGTCCCTGGCGATTGCGGCCGTCGACTGCGCGCACGCGGAAGCGCTTCGTGCCCTCATCGAAGTAGACCTGAGCCAGCTGCACCCGAAGCTTCGTGGGGTCGAGCCTGCTCTGCTTGACTGCCTCGAGGAGCGTGAGCAGCGCGTCAGCTGCACCCTGCGCCGGCGGCGGGGCGAATCGGTCATCGGTCCTTAGACGTGAAGTATTAGACTGGCGAGCAGGCGCGTCCGCGCCTTGTCGACCAGCCGCGAGGCGAAGCCGCTCGCCTTGCCGCTGTCGGTGAGGCAGCATGCGCGTGCCTTTGCGCCGTCGGCGCTGAAGAGGGAGCGCAAGACTCCGGCGATGGGCGGCGCCTGCGGCTGCTTCGTGTCGATGGCGGCGGCTGCAAGTATGATCGCCGTGCGAAGGTCCTCTGGTAGCGCAGCGCGATCGGAGGTGCTTGAGCGGCGTGTGCTCGGAGGGTGCTGCAACGCCGGAGGCGCGGGCCACGATTGAGCAGGCCCTGCCTCCGGCTTGGCATCTGGCTCAGCGGCGTTCTCAGCAGCGGACTTAAGTTGCGCGTGGCTAATCGAGCGACTCATTGGCTAAATCAAAGGGCGTCGGCAAAGGCAGCAGCCGAGAAGGTGTCGCCGGCGCGCACTTTTGCCCGTATCTCCCCACATCTCCCTCTATCTCCCCGTATCTGCCCAAATCTGCCCGTGTGTCCCTCCCGGTATCTCCCCATATCCCCCTCTATCTCCCCGTATCTCCCTGTATCTGCCCGGGTGTGTCTACCCATAAATCTCTATCTCCCTCTATCTCCCTCTGTCTGCCCCTATCTAGATACCTGCCTGTGATTAATAAGAAGCGCGTATGACCCCCCCCCCCCCCCTGAGCACACCAGCGAGGGACAGGGAGGGCGAGACGATCGAGGGGTACCGACTACCGCACCATGCCGTACCATGCGGAATCGACCCTATTCCACTTCCCAGTGCTCAAGTCGTGCTCAAGTGCTCAAGAAGCGCGGCGGTGAGGGCGAAAGAGAAAAGATTTGGCGATCGATGCTGAACCTCTCAAGTAGGGTGCCCACAGGACCCAAAAGAAAATAGCTTTGCCGCTCAAAAAGGGACGCACGAGGCAAATCTGATGTTGGCCAGTTCCAATAGGAGCGAGGCCTCTTCCGTTGGGGGACCGAGTGACTAGGAAACGAGGGTTCCCCATTGTGACCCGCTCCAGTGCGAGCGTGACACTGCACTTGGCGCCGAGCGCCCGCGGCTCAGACCTTGTGCAGGCCACCCCTCGGTGAGTGCACCGGTCCGGACCGATGGCGCTCGGTGTGGAGCAAGCAAGACACACCCACCTCCCATCGGCGCGCGCCCGAGGTTCAAACGGACGCCAGGAGCACCAAGAGGACTCCCCTCATGGCTGCTGCCAAGTGGGCTTCGACCGGCCTCGGTTGGGGGGGCGGGTTGTCCCGGTTGCGAACGCCTTCTGCAGCCCCCTGGGCGTGGGTCAGCACCCCAAAACTGCCCCTCGGCGGCATACAGCACTGCCAGCCAGCCTCTTCCTCCTCCTAAGGGCTGTACTATAGGCCATATTGCGCCGCCTCCTACTGGCAGCCGGGCGGGCGCGCGCCGCGGGCGCCTCGGCGCGCGCACGGCTCGCAAAGTTCGAACGAGTACTGCCGCCCGGCCGCCTCAAGGCTGCCGGACGGCAGTACTCGCCTCGCAAGGCGCGCACCGGCTGCTCTGGCTGCTGCGCCGGCGGCCGCTGCGCTGGCCGCTGCTGCGCCGGCTGGCGGGCGGCACGGCCGCCGGCGGCCGCTGCACCCGCGCCTTCCCTCGCGGGCGCCGTCGCGCCGCGCGCGCCCAATTCTGCTGGTACACGGCACGCGTCGTCACACAGCCGTGGAGAACAGGCGGTGCTGTGCGCGAAGCGCGCGCGATCTCGTACTTTTAAGGCTGGATCCGGCCATTCCAAGGGTATACCTTTGAGAATCCCCAGCGTCCCACCCTCCTAGTCACACTCTCAATATCTCGACTAGCCAACACGAAGTGCTGCGATCGGGAGTGGCCAATATATTTTTCCTTTCTTTTTTTGGGCCCTGTGGGCACCCTATCTCAAGGGACAAGGCACAAACAAGGGAAAATTCCAAGCCTCTCGAGGTGGCCTCTCTCGCGGGGCCATAACACCGTGGACCGTGGACTGCTCTCATAGCACAGCCCATAACATGTTATATGGCTGTTATGGGCCCATGTTATGGCTGTTATGGCTTGTGATGGGGCCTAGCATGTAATGGGTTCATGCAAGTTATGGGCTGCTGGGAGAGCGGAGAGGACCAGGGCTAGGAGTAGGACGTCGGAGCCAACCGCCGAAAAAAAGACTTTCAGCAATGGATCACCCCCCATCGCGCCCACACCCATGCCCGAAGGCGGTCGGCGTGGGGAGGAGAATGATCCCTGCTGGACGAGAGAGGGAGAGGCGCGAGCGCATGTGCATGTGAGCTAGCTGATCTGATCTCATGCATCTGATCTCGTCTTGACCTCCTCTCCCCTCTCTCGTCCGTGACTCATGCAGGCCCGCGACACTGGGCACCGCGCTGCCGCCGGTGTTGAGGACGTGGCGCGTTCGCGGAAATTTCTTGAAGCCCGCCGGCGCAACCTCTGCCGGCCCCGCCCCCCAACTCGAGAGCAGAGCGTTCACCTGCTCGAAGGAGTTCACCACGATCCAGCGAAGACCGTCCACCTCCACGCTCCTCCACGCTGCGCCCTCCTTGGCTTGCGCCGCCGCGGCCACCGCTGCAGGCAACTCCAGCGCCTTGGCCATCGACTGCACCGCGGGGCGGCCGTGCCCGTATGGGATGGACGGATGGTCCGTTCGCGAGGCCACGCGTTCGATGCACGTAGCCGTCTCGGTCGCGAAGTAGACGACCGTGGTGTCCGGCTTCTGGGGAAGCAGTGGCAGTGCGAGCGCGAGCAGCGACGCACGCTCGGCGGTGCGAACATTGCACTTGTCGACGATGAGGCGGCTGTGCTTGCCGCCGCCACCACGCTTAGCAGCGGCGGTCACCGACTTGCACCCGGCACAGACCGCCGCCTCTGTCTCGCGCCTCCCGCCCGTCTCATCCGAGTCGATCAGGAGCCACTCCTCGCGGCTGTGCGCAAGCGCCTTGGCGAAGGTGCTCTGTCCGGCGCCCGGGAGGCCCGCAAGCACAACAAACAAGGGCACGTGCGCGCCCAGGCGCCGGAGGGGCTTGCTGCTGGCAGGTGTGGCGGCGACGGTGGCGGATGTGACGGCTTCCTCCATTCGCCGGCCGCCATCGCCGTCCACCTGTGCAGCCTCGCGGCGCTTTGACCGCGCCTTGAGCAGACATGCAACGCCCTTCTCCCAATCCGGGCGCAGGCTCACGCATGCCTCAAATTCGAGGCAGGCGGCCGTCCAATCGCGCTGCTTGGCTGCCTTGGAAGCAGCGACGCCGCGAGACTGCCACTCTTGCAGCGTCTCCTCATCATATTTAGAGGCGCCTTGGCCATACATCGCACTGAGGTCCTTTTGGGGGCACAGTGGCGCTGGCGCCACCTCCGCATCACCTCCGAGCAGGCGGCAGACTTGCGCCTTCTGCACGTCGAAGAGGGCAGTGACAAAGGACAAGTCTCTCGGCTCACCGTGGCCGTGAAAGCAGGGCTGCGCGCGCAAATCGTGCAGACACTGGAATGTGCACAGCGCCACTTGCCCTGCGAGACTATGAATTGCCCCAAGGAGTATGCTGCACACAGTTCCAGTGCGCCCGTGACCACCGCGGCAGTGGATGTAGAAGACCTCACCGTCTCCGACGCGGCTCAGGATTGACAGGACCAGCGCCGATACCCTCGCATCGTCGGTCGTTTGCTGGTCCTTGATGGGCAGCTCCACAAACTTGGCCGCAGAGTTGAGCTTGAGCACGCCGTGGTGGTAGGGCACTGCATCTCTCTCTCCCTTGGTCTGCAGGTTGACAATCGTGGTGACGCCGGCGGCGCAGAGCTCACGCGCGTGGGTCACTAGTGCGCCACAGTCGCCGCACATGATCCTGCCGGGCACCACCCAGTTGCAACGCGCGAGGCTAGGGAGCGTGTATATGCTGCGCAGCGCAGCCTGCGAGCCGATGCGAGCGGTTAATGCGTCGAGCGGCGGCAGCGGCGGGAACACATTGCTCAGCGCCGGCACGTCCTCCTCCGAAGCAGCCGCGAGGAGCGTGGCGATCTGCAGGCTCGTCTGAGACGCCGTGCTGGAGCCCTCGTCTGCAGGAGCGGTGGCCTCGTCAGCGAGAGCTTGCGAGCCCTCGTCTGCAGGAGCGGTGGCCTCGTCAGCGAGAGCTTGCGAGCCCTCGTCTGCAGGAGCGGTGGCCTCGTCAGCGAGAGCTTGCGAGCCCTCGTCTGCAGGAGCGGTGGCCTCGTCAGCGAGAGCTTGCGCGATGAGTGCCTCGTCGGCGAGCTTCTGGCGAAGTTCCGATGGCAGCTCATAGCCATGAGTGTCAAGCTGCGAGAGTTGACTTGCGTACACGTCCAGCGCTGCACGATTGCACAGCCCGGGCAAGAGGAAATGGCATCCCTTGGCGACGCCGTGGACATCGCGCGGCATGAAGCCACAGGTGATGTGCAATGTGCAGGGGTGGAGTCCGTAGCTGGCGCGAAGGAGTGAGAGCTCGGGCCAGCCCAGCACAACGAAGAATGCTCGCGAACCCTGACAGGAGGTGCTGCCGAGACCAAGTGCGCGCCAGGAGAAGCTGAGACCTCCGACGCGCTGCAGCAGAGTTTGAAGGTGTTCATCACGAGTGCCACCCTGCCGGCTGACGATCGCATCAGCCTCGTGTTTGCTGATGAGAGTGACATGGTGGGAGGCGCTGCCGTCGCGTTGATGCCGCTTCGATTTGAGCTCGTCCGGCACGTTGACGGAGAAGGCGGCGGCAGCCTGATCGACTGACCCGCCGACGAGGCGCAACGTGCCGTGCGCGAGCTCGAGTCGCTGACTGTCTGCCATGGCACCCACGAGCTCGTCGGTTAGGCTGTGCTCTCCTGTCTTCTCCTGTCTTGTCTCCTGTGTCCTGTCTCGGCCCTGTCTGCTATAGCCGCAGCCACTCCCAGCTGCTCGGTGTGAACAGAGTTCGTACACCGAGCAGCAGGGAGCTCCGCAACTCGAGATCCCTCGAGAGTTCACGCGGAGTCGGCTGGGGCTATACCAGACAGGTCTCGGCCGCGTCGTGTCTGTCTCAAGGAGAAATCTTCACGCGTAAAATTTCGCGGTACCTCCCTCAATCGTGCACTCCAAGGCTTCCCTTGTCACAGGAGAACGCAACCAGGAGGAGGCCCGCGCCTGCCCCCGTGCCGCCGGGTGCAACTTTGTCCTATACGAGAGGGGAATCCCTGGGACCCTGTCGTGTGGGTGAACCCTTCGAGTGAACCCTGCCCAGCCCCCCTCCCTCCGTGTCGCGATGCGCTCCCCGCTCCCGTTCCCCTGTGTCCCTGATCGTCCTTCCAAAATCCTGCTCGAGGTGGGGACCCTGTCCTCGTCCCATCCCTCGTTTGGGTTCTCTCTTTTCTTTCTTTCTTTCTTCCAAGTTGTAGGTAATTTGTTGGCAAACTCCACTGCTCCACGGCACTCATAAGATGTGTGTGTCCCGCATCCAGGATCTCGTGCCTCGGCCTCTTGTCGAGGGCTTGGTCGTAGAACTTTGAAGACGTGATTTGGTACCGCTCCCTGACCTTCCGTTCCCCCTCGCCCCTCGCCTTGACAAACCTTTCCCCCCTGCAGTCATCCCTGTCCTCTTCCACGCCCTCGTCCCCTTCCTCTTCCGCCTCCTCGTCTGTCTCCTCTTCCACCTCCTCGTCCTCGTGCAACGACCCCTGCTCCCATTCGTGCGCATGCCACACGCCACTGTCGACGAGGAAGACTGCAGCAGGTAGGAAGAAAATCTCTGCTCTGCACGCCGGTGCGTTCCATAGAAGTATTGCCTCGCATCTCCACGTCTGACAACACATCACAGGCTGCAGCACCCGCTTCTAGTCCAGCTCGCAGGCTGCAGCCTGCTCACGCCATTTTGCAACAGCAGTGTGCACAGACCGTTGTCATTGGCCTGGCTGTGCGGTGTGTGCTGGTGGCGCCAATTTTGATTGGCCGGGCGATTTGGGCCCCGACTGTGTGGTGGTTCTGTGGCGCGCGCGGGTCACTCGACTCTGGCGATGTGACGGAGGCACGGAGCCCACCCGATCGCTCTGTGATCGACAGCTCTCCCTCCTTCCTTTTCTTTCGGGGAAAATGGTGTGGCGGCGTGTGAATCACACGCCGACGCGGGACATCGAACAAGTGGTCCACACGCTGAGCACAATGTTCAAACCGACCTCTGTCGAGCCTGAGCTATCGGGCCCACAGGGCAGGGGCTGAAGGTAAAGCCGTAAAGCCGTAGTGAAAGACCTTCCCTGGGTCTGTCTCTCACTCTGTGAACCGCTCCCAGCCGTGCTCGCCAAGCATCAGCCACCGCCGCCGCCGACGTGCCGACAACTCCTGAGAAGGCAGGAGCGGGGCATCCAAAACAACAGGGCGGAAGGGAGGGGTGACCATACGCGCAGCGCAGGAGGGGTGCCCCTAAGGGGGCACAAAGGTAGCTCAAAGGGGAGTGAACAAGACGCCGCACAGGCGACGTGCACGCTCGCCGCCTGCGCTCGCCGCGTCGCTCTCTCCCTCCCCTTCTTTGCTTGAACTAGGGAATAAAGAGAGCTTCTGCGAGCCGCGCTCGGCCCCTGTCGGGCGCGATGGCCGCGGCAGTACCGCCGATCGATGTGCACTGCGTTCACGCGGGGCCCGACGCCCCCGTCCAGGGCCCCGCTGCCCACCCGCTGGTGGTGGCTACTGCCGTCCTCCGCTGGGGGCCGGTTGCGGCTGCGCCGAGCGGAGCAGCGCGCGTGCAGCTTCCGCACCACGCGATGCTGCGCGTCTTTGGCCGGCGGCTGCGCCTCGCGGCGCCCTCCGCCGGTACTCCCGCCCCGATGGTCTGCCCGCTGGACCTCGCTCTCACCGGAACCGCGTGGGCTCGCTTTCTGAACGAGCTGCTCACGTGCGGGCTCCTCGACGCGGCCCCCTTCTCCTCTTCGGCTGCACTACAGCTGGCGATCGACCGCCTCGATGTGTCGCCAGCGGCGCTGGAGGTGAAAGAGCCCGATCTCCTCCCGGTGGGGGGCCTCGCCGCCGCGGCCGCGCTGGCGGGGGATGCTGCTCATGCGCAGCGCGGGGCGCCTCGCCGAGCCAGCGCCGCGGCGTCTGCGGCGAGGCCGGCGGCGGCTGCGGGCGCGGCCCTCGCGCCATGCCTCGCCCCGCTGGCCTGCACCCCGCTCTCCACCCTAGAGGTCGAGGGGGACGCGCCGTGGACCGTGATCGCCTACCTCTCCGGCATGCTCGGCCCCTGCCTTGGGCAGGCTGAGCGCGATCGCGCGGGGTCGCAGGTGCAGCTAGGCGCCCACCTTCTCGCCAGCGGCTGCATCTCCGCGTACGGCCTCCCCCCGAGTGCTAACCCGCAACTACTGGCGAGCTATTTTAAGGACTACGTGCTCGCGCTGGAGGGCGCGCTGCCCCCTTCGCTCTGCGCCCCGGCGCTTCACCTCTTCGTCAACCGCGCTCGCTCGCCGGCCAGTCTCTGGCGCGGTCGCTACCGCCGACGGCGGCTCAGCGAGCGGCGCTGGCGCGCGCCTCGCTCGGGCTCGTTCGCGCCGCGGCGGCAGCGCGCCCACATTTTGCCTGGCGCCCGACGATTTGTCCTGACAGTGGCCCGTCGCTCCCGCTCCGAAGCAGCACAAACCGCCGCCACTGCCGTCGTCAGCACAAACCGCCGCCACTGCCGTCGCGCCCTGCGCCAATGCGGCGGGGCGCCTAGCGCCCAGCTGGGCCTTGACACGGCATCCTACCGTCGGGGCAACTCAGCTCAACGATTGGGTGAATTCCGGATGACTGCGCATAATGGGGTTGACCCGCCGCGCAGCAAGCCGGTGTTCACGCCAATTCGAGCTACTACATCGCTTCACGTTCCGAGCCATACGCACCTTACAACAATGGGGCAGGAGTTAAATCGGCTCGCGCCGAGCTCCTGCTGTCGTCATCGTCGTCCTATGGGCGTGCGAGGGCGGCGGGCACCGACGGCTCAGCCGAGTCGGGTCGGTAAAGCCCTCCCACTGTTCTTCGGTGGCACTGTCGCGAGACGGTTGGCGATCGGAATCCATTAACTACTACGTGGAGTTCATCCCCTGATGAACGACTCATGGTCAGATTGCCCATCTCGACTGCCCGTTGTCAACATCACTAGGGAGATTTGATTGGCGCTGGCGCCTGCTGTTGACAAGTGGGATCATCTGGCTTCCGGAATACTTCCGCGAAGCTGCCCCCAGCAGGCGTTTGACCAAAATCCAAATTTCCCTACTCCAGTTGAGGCTGCCCTCGGACCCGAGAAGGTCTTTTCTCGCAGCTGCGAGACATGCTTTCTCGGAGCGGGGCATCCAAAACAACAGGGCGGAAGGGAGGGGTGACCATACGCGCAGCGCAGGAGGGGTGCCCCTAAGGGGGCACAAAGGTAGCTCAAAGGGGAGTGAACAAGACGCCGCACAGGCGACGTGCACGCTCGCCGCCTGCGCTCGCCGCGTCGCTCTCTCCCTCCCCTTCTTTGCTTGAACCCACCACCATCCCCTGTCACCTCCGTGTGTGTGTGCCTGCTGGGGGATCATCTGGCTTCCGGAATACTTCCGCGAAGCTGCCCCCAGCAGGCGTTTGACCAAAATCCAAATTTCCCTACTCCAGTTGAGGCTGCCCTCGGACCCGAGAAGGCAGGCAGGCATCAAACAAATGAGAAATGTCGAGGGTTTAGCATTGCTGTAGAAATCGTACCAAAGTCTGTCGAGCGCGGGAGCTCGGTCAGGGGTGGTAAAGAGATGTAGGACCTTCCTTAGGTCCGCCTCTCACACCCTCACTGTCTGCGACGTCAGCTTCTTTTTCTTATCTACCCATCTGCGACTACGGCACAGCCTCCGGCAGCGCCCGGGGCTTCGCCCAACCACTCGCAACAGCTCTCGCGCGCCGCCGTCAGTGGCGATGCGCAAAACATCAACAACGCTGCTCGCAACTGCGTGTCGCGCACTCATTCATGACCGGTCTCAATGCCCCACCCCCCTGCGCGCGGGCCTTCTAAGCCCGCGGGTAGTCCCCCCCCATCCCCAGGGCCTCCAGGGCTCGCACCTCAACCTCTCACAGGCCAGCGCACAGCGCCATAAGAGGTATTTTCTTCTCAATAACAAGGCTGTGAACATTCTTGTACAGGCTACAGTCCCATCGGGAAAGTTGAGCCGCAAGTTGACGCGTGCGAAGCTCCTCGCCGTTCGCGCACCCCTTCTAAAAGATGCTGTTTGACAAGCTCGTGCTCGGCGCCCTCGTTGCCTGCACCTTTTGCCTCATCTACCCTGTCATGTCGGTGCCGGTGAGGACAGAGGTGCCCGCACCAACCGCGTCCAATGCTCCACCAACCAAAACTGCCGTGAGGGAGCTGTGGCAGACTGACGAACAGAATGCAGAAGATGCAATCTCGGGTCGTTTGGCCAGCGTTTCCCGCCATCTGCAGCCGCAGCGTGAAAGCGCACAACCAGCGCCGCAGCTCGAGCCGCTGCACGTCCACGGGTATAAGTGCAGGACGCTGCCGGATGGACACCCGGAGAGCTGCAACGTATGCTACTTCAGCCCAGCCGACATCACACCGTCGTCGCCATGCGAGGAGAGCGGCGACTGTAACCAGCGACGAGTCGAAGGCACCAACGTGACCCGGGTCGAGCTCGCCGAGAATGGCGTTCGCTACCTGCAGGTCGGAGGCGACTGGTGGAACAAGGCTCCAAAGAGTGGCCCGCACCGTTGCCCGACAGCCCCGCTGATCTAGCCATTAGCCCTAAGGACAGCCCGCTGCCTCTGCTTCACTCCACCACCCACCCCGTTGGCAGTGTGGCGACGGCTGGCTTAACGCTGACATGGTATTCACCGGGCTTCCCGCCGGCTTCATCTGTGAGGACTGGCGCACTGGCCGACTCATCCTTCGGCAAGAGGCCGGCCGCCGCTGGCCGTTCGAGGACGGATCGTTCGACGCGGTCTACTCGGAGCACATGTTCGAGCATGTCCTCCCCGCGGACGGCTCGGCCTTCTTGCGCGAAATGTGCGGCCCTGGGCACCCGAGCGCCGAGGCGCTGGCGGCCACTGCTTGACGCTGCACGTGTGCACGCAGGTACCGGCTGCTGAGACCGGGCGGCGTCATTCGGATCACGACGCCGGATCTCGAAAAGTATCTGTCGGGCTACGTGAACCGGAAGACGGACCCCTTCTTGCAGCAGCACGCGGCGCGATTTCCCCCCACGGGGATCGGCAAGGGGCCGCCCTACTCGGCCGCGCGGGTCGTCAACAATATCTTTCGAAACTACGATCATCGCTGGATCTACGACTATGACGAGTTTGTGGCGGTGGCGGAGCATGCTGGTATCCCCCGAGACGCCGTCCACCACTCGACACGCCTCGGCCCGGAGCTGCCCCAAAGCTTTCGGGACGCAATTACGGCCGCCGAAGCCATGTCGACGGCACGGGCGCAGAGGAATGCGCGTGAGAATCCGACGCGCTGCTGGCTGGAGCAAGAGGTGCGGGAGCCAGAGTCACTCTACGTCACGGTCTTCAAGCCGGGGTGATTCGTGGCCGTGGGGCGTCACTGTGGCGTGTAGTCTAGAGCCGTAGAGTGATGTCTGATGTGTAAGGGCATCTAAAGGCACAGCCGGCGACGGAAAAATGAATCGAAATACCACGGGCACTCACAGCAGAGAGTGTAGAGATGTGTGAACAGCGCCATAGGAGGTGTTTTTCCTCAATGAGACACACCGCGTGCAGCGTAAAGCGAAGAGAGACACGGGGATGTCATGCCTTCCGACGCATACGCGGGGGCGCCCTGCAGAGAAAGAGAGAGGGAGAGAGAGAGGATGATTCAGACACACAAGACAAGGGAGGGGCGGGGGATGGTGCTATGGTGAAGACTCTAGGTACGATTGGCGGCGAGGAGCGGCATGGCAGCGCAGGAAAGAAGAACGGACCGAAGGGTTGATGGTGTGGAAGGAGGCAAGCACATGTGGAATGCCTCGGTGGCGGAGCCCTCGCTCACACCCCCGCCGGCACTGAGCCCCGCTGCGTCCGCCAGTGCCGCCCACTCAGTGGTCGCCGCCCTCAATCTGGTTGAGCTTGAAGTACTGCCCGCACACAAGGTGCAGCGGCCCCTTGACCAACCGGAACCAAATGACGCCCTACAGGAGCGAGGGAGGGCGAGCAGGGAGGGGACTGTGGTGAGACCTCTCCCTCTGCTCCTCCCACCAGCCCGTCCAGCCGCGGCGGGAAAGGCGGGAGGGCTCGTGGTATATGCTATGGGTCCGCATATGCGTGGGTGACGCAGCAAAGCGCAAAAGTGCGCAGGCGGGCAGCGCCGAAACTCCTGTGGTACCGCGCCGCGAGAAGTGCTGCGCGACCGCGCGCGTCTCCGTGAAGACTGGGGGCTCGCAAGGCGGCGGGTGCAGCACGCACCGAATGCGTCTCGAGACCCACCACACGCGACTCGTTGTACGAGGGGACGATGGCTGGGTTGTCCTTTGTCCCCTTGTGCCCCGTGATCGGCTCGCGGCTCCAGAAGATGTCTGGCGTCTGCATTTCCTCCTTCTTCTCCATGCCAGTCGACTGCTCCTCGTTCTCCGGGATCCCTTTTGCACAGTCACGGCGCGGTGAGGGGGGAAAGCTCCGCTGTGCGCGCGCCGCCGCAGGCTCCCGGGCGCGTCGCGGGCGGGCCGGGGCGCGGCTCACGGTCTGTCAGGCGCCGCACGCCGCCCACGGCCGGCGCTGGCCGCGCCAATGCGGCCGCAGTCAGCCTGGAGGAGCCTCTGTGGACCGAGGCTCGCAGCATGCCGACTCTTCTTCGGCGAGGAAAGCTTTTCTCCGCACTTTCTTTTTGCTCTCAGTAAGAATTCTGCCGCCGAAAGCGATGGTTTTCGTGAAGAGTCGGTGCTGGGGCGAGCGCAGTGAGACAAGCACTTCTTTCTTCTTTGCACAGCAGTGCGGCCTCTTTAGTTTTTTCTTTCACCAAGACCAACAAGAAATCACGACGGCACAGTGATTTGGGCTTTCTTCTTCCCTTCTGCGCCTTTCCGGTAGGTCTGCCTCCACTGTTTTCTTATTTCTTTCGTTCACCCCCCCTACACCTGTGTTATAATAGGTCGGCTCAGGGCCCCGTCCATTTCCCTCCCGCTTGGCGCGTGATGATGAGGAGATGCCACCCTCAATACAAACAAGCGTGAGGCTCCCGACGCCGCCGCCCTGAACCGCCGCCATTGTTCGACGCTGGGTAGGTTCTCGCCCGCCGTGGTGAGCGCCGCGGCGACGTCGAGCGCCTGTTTGACTGCTGTGCGAAGATATTGAGCACTATCCGATGGACTTGTACAGCCCGCTGTGCTCTCCGCTGTGCCACGGCGTATGATGGGCTGCGAGCGCCGTATCTTCCCTCCTTGAAGCAGAGGCGCCGCGAGGCACGAGAGGCGTAGAAGAGAGGCTGGCGTGCCCCGCACCGCCCGGTTGGCAGTAGGAGGCCCCGCCGCTGAGACCACTGATTTTGATGCCGACCATAAATTCTCGCAACTCGAACGCATGCTACTTACAGCTGCTGTCTGTACAGAGATGCCACCAGCACCCCCCACAGGCAGAGCGCTGCTGCTGGGGGGGGGGGGTCCCGACCCCCCCAGCAGCAGAGCGCTGCTGCTGGGGGGGTCCCGACCCCCCCAGCAGCAGAGCGCTGCTGCTATCGTCACCACGACGTGGCTGCGGACGGGCGTCGCCCACGACATCGTGCGCCCGCTCTCCAACGTCGCCGAGATCCCTGCCTCGCCTGCCAGGAGCGGCGTCGAGCTCATCGCTGGGCAGGTGCGCGGGTAGAGCTCTCCACCATACTCTGCCGCGATCCCGGCTGCTGCGAGCACGGCGCCGCCCGGTGCGCGCGACATGACCCCTGCCGTTCCCGCGCACGCAGGTCGCCGAGGAGCACGTGGAATGCCAATGCGAAAACACGACGAATGTGCGCGCACCCGCCGCCGCCATGCAGCCCTGCCCCTCCCCGCCGTCGATTTCGTCGCCGTCCGTGCGCGCGCCGCCGTTCACTCCGCCGCCGCCGTCGCCCCCACTTCCGCCGCCTCCGTTTATTTGCGCCTCGCCGCCGCCGCCGTTCTCCACCGGCGGCGGCGCCGACGAGAAAGTACGGCTGCGCGCTCTGCGGCTCAAAGCTCCACAACCTCACCACGACGACGAAGGGTGAGAGGTCGGTGACCTGCCCCTACCACGACGACTTCGAGGTCGTGATCGGCAAGACGGTCAAGGTCGAGTTCGTCAAATTGACGGAGAGTCAGAGGGCCGCAAAGCGGGTGGAGGAGGCGGCGAAGAAGGCGGAGGAGGCGGCGAAGGAGGAGGAGGAGGAACAGGAGGGAGAGCCGTGAGCTGCGCAGTGAGAAGAGCGGCGGCGTAGTAGCGGTCGAGAGAGGAGTTGTGTTCTTCACACCGTGTCGGGAGGTGTCCGGCGACGAGGGGTCGCGACACACATCTCGCACGCGAGGTCGAACCATGTCCTCTTCTTCTTATTTCTTCACTTTCCTGAACGCCTTGCCTATCATCATGGTTGCAACTAAAAAGACCTCCAAGCCTGGGAGCCCGCCCGAAGGGTACTGTTTTCCAGAGCGACGACAGCAACATGTCAAGCAAGCTCACCCTGATCCACGTCCCAGTCGGCAACAACCCAGCCAGGATCCGGCTCCTCATCTACCTCAAGGGCCTCGAGGACCAGATCGACATCAGTACGCCGGCCGACTATGGCGGCATGAGCAGCGACGCCTATCGGGCGCTCAACCCGCAATGCAAGATCCCGACGCTGCTCCTTCCAGACGGAAGCGCGGTCTACGAGAGCCGGGTCATCTCCGCTTTCCTCGCGGACAAGTACCGTGACTCTGGCCCGAGTCTACTGGCCGAGACGCCAGAGGCACCGCCGCCAACCTCAGCCAATGCAAAGCCGCCACAGCCGCCGCCCTCTCCACCACCGCCACAGCCGCCGCTGCCCGCTCCGCGTTTCTGACGTCGTCGTCGCCGCCGCCCGCCAGGCGCGTGCCCGCGCCCTTCTTCTCAACTCGATCCACGACCTGTACATCGCGTCGCCAAACTCGTCCGACCCGGCGGTGACCGCCAACCAGGGCTGCGGCTACAAGGGCGTCGAGCTGATCGACGCGCCGGCACGCGCCGCCAAGCTGAGGGAAGTGGCCAAGCAGGTTGGCGTGCTCGAGGGGCTCGTCGTCGGCCCTTACGCCGCCGGCGCCGCGCTGACCGAGGCGGACTGCGCCCTCTATCCCACCCTCGCGCTGCTGCTCCCCTTTTGCCTCGAGCACGCCTTTGGCTGGCCGACTCTTGTGGGAGCCGAGCACCCGCGGCCAGTATGCCAAGTGGCTGGCCGAGATGGAAAAGCTGCCCGCGGCGCAGCGCGTGAGGGCGGAGGTGGAGCCGGCGCTGCAGGGCTGGCTCCACGCCGGCCGCTTCGAGCCGATCCGCGCGCAGGTGGCGGCCGCCGCGTCTCTCGCATGGGATCGCGAGGCGGTGATGGCGAGTCTGTGAGAGCCAGCCGCCGCGACCGCCCTCTTAGAGGATTGTGCCGGCCGTGACACACGACAGAGCCGCACGTCGTGTTGGCCTGACGTGCACGTGGCCTGACGCTCCATGCCCCTGACTCGGGGGGCTGTCATCAGGCTCATCCTACATCCACACATATCCTCCATCCACTCCATCCACAGGCACACAGCGTGTGATATTTAAAAATTAATATTTTAGCGTCGAATACGTGTGTGCTGAGCGCGCGGCCGAGGAAGAGAGCTCATCTCGTTTTACCTTTTACGTGTTAGGATGGCGTTCACTACCTGTACAGTGCATCAATATCGTATCGAAATGCTACACGCCACCCGGCGCGGACGGCTGTCGCTGACGCGTTCGCGCAGCACCACTAGCACCAGCAGCCGCCCCCAGCAGCTCTGCCGCTCTCTCTCATCCCTCGAGGATCTCCTCGAGCTCGTCGAGCGTCTTTTCGCCGCGGAAGAAACGGCCGCCAATCTCCCACGTCGGATAGCCCTTGATCTCCTTGGCCTGGCACAAGCCGCGCTGCGACTTGTACCCGTCGGCCGCGCACTCGACGTAATCGATGAGCCGGTTGGCCGGCGCGCCAAAAAGCTGCCTATCGGTCGAGAAGCGCCGCGCGCTCAGGTTTTCACTTTTTCATCGTCGTCACGCGACGGCGACTGCGCACTTTTGGCTAAAGCAGTGACTGCACCAGTGCGCGCCGTACATTTTTGCTCCCTTCGCCTTGAGCTGGCGCGCGAGTGCGAGCGCCCTCGGACTGGACGCACCCTTCACGGTGGGCGGCGAGTAGACCGTGGCTGGCGGCGTCTGCACCGCCGCCGCCGATTGGGCCGCATTTAGCTGCTCCGGCGGCAGGAGCGCCTCAATCGGAGGGATGGTCTCGCCTCGCAGCGGCAGCCGGGCCACCGCCGCTCCCAGCGCAACGGCGAGCACGCGGCGGCGATCGGCCGACTGGCGAGGCCTCTCCGACCGCGTCGTCGGACGCAGCGCCGTGGACGAGAGCAGTATGAGTAGAGGCGAGGCCACCGCCATGAATCAGGAACAGGACTGTTTGTCGGCTGTCTGCCCCGCCCGCCAGCACCTACAGCCGCTCCTCGCTGCTAGGTGTCAGGGCTCGCACCTCAACCTCTCACAGACCAGCGCACAGCGCCATAGGACGTATTTTCTTCTCAATAACAAGGCTGTGAACTACGAAGTCAAGGTGCCTAGCGCCCTCAAAAGACGAGAGGCAAGCTGGGCAGGGCTCGGCGGCACACGGCGGATGCTGGAAGAGCCAATGCGTCACTGGGCCACAAATTTGGTTTCGACGGCACCCTGCCTCGACCAAAACTTGCTCAGGGTTCTTGGGTGCAAAGAGCGCGGCCACAAGTCACAGGGCCCGCTCGTCCATGCGACCGGCAAAGGCTGGGTCAAAGAGCACAAGGGACAGTACTACGACGCGCTCCATGTCAAGAACGGAATCGTCAAAATTTGTCTCGTCGAAAGCCAGGGCGGCATCGGCCATCGCGCCGCCGACCAAGAGAATCATCCACAACTTCGCCAAAGAGGTCGGCAGCCCGAGTGCCGTCGACCGCACCGACTACGGCACAGCCTCCGGCAGCGCCCGGGGCTTCGCCCAGCACCACTCGCAACAGCTCTCGCGCGCCGCCGTCTGTGGCGACGCGCAGAACATCAACAACGCTGCTCGCAACATGCGTGTCGCGCACTCATTCATGACCGGTCTCAATGTCCCACCCCCCTGCGCGCGGGCCTTCTAGGCCCGCGGGTAGTCTCCCCCCGCCCCCATCCCCAGGGCCTCCAGGGCTCGCACCTCAACCTCTCACAGACCAGCGCACAGCGCCATAGGACGTATTTTCTTCTCAATAACAAGGCTGTGAACAGAGTTCGCAAATCGAGATCCTCGAGAGTTCACGCGCCACGCGGAGTAGAGGCTGGGGCTAATACCAGACAGAGTTGTCGGTTTTCCGCAATAGAGGAAAAAGAAATCGACGGATTGCCCGGCGAGGAAACACTCCCGCCTGCTGTGCAAAGAAGAAAGAAGTGCTTGTCTCACTGCGCTCGCCCCAGCACCGACTCTTCACGAAAACCATCGCTTTCGGCGGCAGAATTCTTACTGAGAGCAAAAAGAAAGTGCGGAGAAAAGCTTTCCTCGCCGAAGAAGAGTCGGCATGCTGCGAGCCTCGGTCCACAGAGGCTCCTCCAGGCTGACTGCGGCCGCATTGGCGCGGCCAGCGCCGGCCGTGGGCGGCGTGCGGCGCCTGACAGACCGTGAGCCGCGCCCCGGCCCGCCCGCGACGCGCCCGGGAGCCTGCGGCGGCGCGCGCACAGCGGAGCTTTCCCCCTCAGCTCACCACACCTGTTATTGTGCAGAAAATTTGAAAAAAAAACGACAACCCAAAGGAGGGGTGGGAGGAGAACCCAAGGGAGGGACCCACCTAATAAATAAATAGAGCAGGCATCTCCAGGGAGAGATGGGCGACGCACACGAAGACAGAGGGACCGACCTGTAGAGAAGCGCACTTTCTTTTTCCCGACCTGCCTTTGGCCTGTCGCTGCCGCCGCCGCTCGCCGCCTCGACCGCTCGCACAGCCGTTCACATACATGGACACAGACGAGGACGCGGCGGCGGCCGCCCGCTCGAGTCGGCTCGAGCGTGGCTGCCGCGGCTTTGTGCAGCGGCTCCTGGGCTGGCCGCCAAAGCCAGCAGAGGGAGCAGTGGGAGGGGGAGCTCTCGGCGGCGTGGGTGTCATGGCACCCGCTTCTTCCAAGCTGCCCGAGTCCACGCTCGAGGTCAAGCTGGACGCGAGCCTCCGCAGCGAGCGGCACACGCGCGTCTTTGGCAGACGCAACTCCCACGAGGTCTTCGGGCACGTGCTTCGGCGCTCGTCCTCGTCGTGGCAGCGCGGCGGCCCGCTCTCGCCGCCCGGGCAGCTGGTGCGGATGGGCTCCTCCTTCGTGGACGTGAGCCATCCGTCCGGCGAGGGCGGCGCCAGCCTCTTCTCGAGCATCCTCAACATGGCCAACACAATCATGGGCACCGGCCTCCTCGCGCTGCCGCGCTCCATCTCGCTCGCCGGCCTCGTGCCGGGGCTGCTGCTCATCGTGCTGAGCGCGCTGATCAACGTGGGGACCAACGTCTTCCTCTCGGACGCCGCGGCCGTCGGCGGCCACCCCGCCTCCTTCAACAAGCTCGCCGTCGCCGCGGGCGGGCCTGCGCTGGCGCTTGTGACGGACGCCGCCGTGGTGGCAAACGCGCTCGGCGCAGGCATCACCTACGCGATCGTCGCCGCGGATGGCTTGACGCTGGGCATGCCGCTGCTGCTGGGCGCCGCGTCCCCCGGCCACCAGGCGTGGGTCCTCGTGGTCGCCGCCATCATCACGCCCCTCTCCCTGCTCCGCTCGCTGGACGCGCTGCGCCTCACCTCCCTCCTCGCCGTGCTGATCCTCGGCGGCATCTCCGGCCTCGTGCTCCTCTACGCCCTCCCGGCGAGCGGCCCTGCCGCCGACCTCGACCCGTGCCCTGCCGACTGGACCGCCTCGCCCGTCTCGTGTCCGCCGGGCGAGGTGCGGCTCTTCACCTCTCCGGCGGGCGTTCTCGCGGCGCTGCCCACCCTGGTCATGGCATACGGATGCCAGATGTCCACGCCAACTCTGTGGAACGAGATGGAGCGGCCGACGCGGCCGCGCATGCTCGCGCTGTACGCCAGCGCCCTCGGCACCGCGATGCTCCTCTACCTGCTCGTGGGCGGACTCGGCTACGCCACCTTTGGCGACGCGGTCGCCGGGAACCTCCTCAAGTCGTACCCGGCCACCCTCGCCGTCGGGGCGGCACGGCTGGGCCTCGCCCTCGTGGTCATCTTCTCCTTCCCGATCCAGGCGCCCTTCGCCCACCCGCCCACCCCTGCAGCCCACCCCACGACCCAAACACACCCCTCCAGACCCCCCCCCCCCCTGGACCCCTTCCCCGAACTTATAAGGCCGCTAAACTCTGGCGCCCAGTCGGCCGCCCTCGAAAGCGATCGGAGTTTACCCCTCCTGCGGGGCTCCCCGTGGGTAAT